CTAGGGGTAGTTGGGGCAAATATCTTTGGGGCATCTTGTGTAAAAACAATTACACATGCATGAAACATTTTTAATGGCCTGAGCCAGAGTCGCGCAGCCAGGCAGCAGGGCTGCTCCCCTCGAAAATACGAGCACTGAGTCTGCTGAGTCACAAAACGATTCCCCCACATTCTATTCTATTTTTTTTTTCTAATTGAGTGAGCGAGTGGTAAGTATATGCTTATTTCTTATGTCCATATAGAGGAGTACGAGCACGAGTCGCGAGTCGCGAGTATATAGACACATTAACAATATGTTGGGCAAACAGTGAATTTCTGTTTTCCTTTGCTTCGGAGTCGAACCTGTTAATACCCTGAGCTGTTGCCAACAGCACCCCCAACCCCTAAACTGCCAGCTTTTGAAAAGGGTATTAGCCAGCAAACAGTGATATAGGGGAGAGAGAGGGTGAGGAGGGGGGCCCCATGGACAGATGGGGAAATTGAATAAGCCATGCGGAGTGAGGGGATGGAGTGTGGGTGTGGAGTGAAGTGAAGCGTTGGCAATATGGATATTCAGGTTCATTGCTTTGACATTGATGAGACAGGACAAGGCTACCCGCACACACCACACACACACTGTCACACTGCCACACTGCCACACTGCCACAGCCCAAAGGCAATAGGCGGCACGCGGCAAGCGGCCAGGACGGTATGGCGCGCACACACACGTAGCAGCAGTTACGGACAGTTGGGGACAGACAGGCCATGGACAGACAGCGGAACATCCACGGATAGAGGGGGGATGGGCTGTGGCCGTTGCCGTTGATGGACTTATGTAAATTGACTATGCAAACTGTATAAATATTTGATCAATTTCCATGTCGCTTTGCGTATTGTGAGCCGCAAAAATGAATGTATTTTTAAGTAGATGCAACCACCGCACACACACACCAATGCCCTCCCTCCCCCCACACACACACACACACACACACACAGATACAAACAAAATCAATCAACAGTAAATGGACGCGTCAAAAATCAGCAAATGTGAAATATTCCACCCCCTCATCAGCCGCGAGACCAGGCGCCCAGGCCCAAGTCAAAACCCCCCGACCCCAAAATGAAAGGTTATGCGGGTCCTCGGGGCTGGCTCCTCCACTCCACTCCACACTCCACATCGCCCCTTGCCAACCAGCATTCGACGACAACGAGACCGAGAGTCAATGAAGCGAAAAGCAGAAGCAGCAGGAACCCCCACGGCAATCGATGAATTCATTTCGGTTATTCACTGATATCGCTCCAAACAATTATCGATATGAATATGAGACTCAAGTGTTCTTTCAAGTGATATTCCATGGACATAAACACATACCATGTACCTTCGGGTACATTGCATTGAATGCTGAAATCTTTTATGGAAAAATGTACGCAAATAAATATAACATTCGAGTTGTGTTTAGTTGTTTATCGATTTGTATAAGCACTTTTCGATATATTTGATGCATCAGCTAAATATTTATCGATCAGCCTGCAGTGGAGTGGGGTGGGGTGGGAGTTGGGAGGTTATCATAAAAAGCAAAAATGCCAATCGTAAAAGCATCCATTATAATAAAATCGTGACATTTTTGAGTGTTTCTTTTATGGACACCACACGACAAAGTCATCCGAAGGCATTCACTTGCCTAAATACGTGTAATACGAGTCGAGTCATCTTTCATACCTTGTGTACATATGTATGCTTCTGCTGTCAGCGCCAGTGATTTAAGAAAATTCAATGGAAATGTTGGCAAAATAGCGGCATGAAATTTTAGAACTTTGATAAGTAAATTCAGACATATTTCGACTATCAAAACTACCCTTTAAAAAGAAACAAAGAATGGTAAATTTATTCTTTATTTGAAATAAAATTAAACACAGGAAAAAATGGCAGCTACTAGCGAATAAAAGTTTGAAACTATCAGGATCAATTTCTAGAATCATTTATTGATCTTATTAAAATCAATTGTGCAATTAGAACACTTTGACATGCATTGACAAGTTCCCACAGCTAATTTAATATAGATATAAATAGCTGTACATCTACTTGGCATAGGAATAAGGTAGCAAAGTAATTGGAGAAATCAAAGGGGATGATGATGATGACACGTCAGCGGTGGCCATGGAGCGTGAGAGCGAGACACACATGGACAAACTCCCACACAATCATCTCCAGAGTGAGTAAGTGAATCGTAATGAGTTTTGAAATGCACACCGTCAGAGTGCCGTCGGTCATTACTGGACAAATGGAATGGGGGACGCATACATATATGTATATATGTATGTAGTATATATATGTACACCCACATCCCTTTTGCCCGTTTCTTCCGTCGCTATGTCTGTGGCTCCTATGTCTGTCATTATCTCAGAGTCGGAGATGGAGTGGAAATATCAGAGGAATATTGAACGAAAGAGATGGTTCGGTTAATTGGAGCGCATGATTGATTACAGTTTCCATTAATTACGCTCACTTTGCTCGCTTTTCTGGTCATTAACCATTCAGCAGAGGAGTCGCAGCCCCGGGGCCTTGGGTTAGGAACAGGGGGCCTGGGAGGGCCTGGGCATGGGCTGGGCCTGATGACATTTAAAATTCAAAAGATTAACCAAATAAATCAAGATTCGATCAGGGCCCCGACCGAAATTAATTCAGTTTTAAGAGCGACCCTCCATTAGCGGAAAATCGAGCAACTACTTAAGAATTCAGGCCCCAAAAGCAAAACAAAAAAACAAAAAAAAACATTAAGGGACGACAGATATGGGATGTTCCTGAAAATAAAGATATTTCTGGGAAATGAGACTCGGACTCTGACTGGGACTGGGACTGGTTTCTATTTATGGCGAATTCCTGTGCCGCAGACATATTTCACATTGAACACACGATCGCTCGCTCGCTCGCTCATGCAAGTGCATTTCGGGATGGGGGATATATCGGGGGGATTTCGAATGGGTTGTGCGGAACAAAATGGAACATTACGGAACGGGAGGGAACAGAATGATGCGGAACGGAACGCAGACAGAACACCGATGCGGTGGCGCTGTCATGAAAAGCGAAAGCGCACACACAAAAATGAAAGCCAACATAAAGGCGACACCGTTTTTGGACCGCAAAAACCGACAACCAAACAAAACAAATTTTCGTAAGTAAAGTAAAAAGTGTAGTGTGTGTGTGTGTGAAAATGTGAAAATTCTGTTGAAAACTTTTTGCGTTTTCTTTTGCCTCATTTCATTTTAATTTTCATTTTCATTTATTTGATGTATTTATGGGGGAGTAATAGGTTTTTGGGGAAAATAAACCTGATTGACATTCTATTTACAATAGTAGCAATTTGTGAGTGGAAATACCTACAGCCCACACACATATACATAGGTATATATTAATGCCCCCCTTCTGCAATAAAATGTCCGACAGAATGGGGCTTTGCCAAGTTTTTTACAACTGCTTTTTGATGGGTATTTAACGATGATTTCAACAACTGAAGAATCATTTTAATTATACTCGTTGGTACTCTTATAATGGGTTCCGAAAACTTATGGACGAAGGACCTTGATGACAAGGCCAGGCAAAATATATGGGGCTGGTAGTCAAAAGTGTAGTCTATTCTTGTAGCAATTAAAATACACCTTTCGTTTAAATTTATTTATTGGCTATTAGCTCACAAAATTTATTAACAAAGAAAAGCGCTTAAATGAGTCATTTGCATATTTCCAATAACTTAACTCAAAGCACAACCAGCAAGAGAATCAATTACTAAAACCTGTTTTATACAATTAATTGCCATAACTTTGTTTCGGTTAACTAATAGCATCAAGTTGTAATTACAACACCTTCCCATCGATGGGCGACTCCGTGCGTATACGTAATATTTATTCGATTACCCATACGAATAACGAATAACGGTATTCAATAAGCAATTTCCGTTCTTCGAACGGTAACTTCATTGAGGAAGTGTCTGTGCGGGGGGATGGGGGAAAAGTTTTGTGAAGTATTTGCGGTTGCAAGTTTAAAGTTTAAAGTTGAAAGTTTTTGAAGCTGTCTTAAAGCCGTGCAACCCACTCAATCATTGGCAATCTCTGTGGCATGCTTCCTGTGCTTCGACCGCAAACTCAATTTGACTGTTCATGAATTTTCCATGAAGATTCCACCAGCAGCAGCATCACCAGCAGCAGCAGCAGGAGCAGCAATCACTCATTGTTTCACTGTGGTCTGGGTCTGGGTCTGGAGCTGTGACTGGGACTGAGACTGGCTGCTGCTTGTTGAAATCTCAAATTCCATTTTCGAGCATTCCCCAAACCGTTCTGTGAATTTGCATGACCGCAAGAGCAAGGCACAGGCCGGAACAAGCCAGCCACACACTGGCAGCCTGTTAGCCTGCCTGCCGAACATGTCATATCATGGCTGGGCATGGCACAGCGCCTTTTCGCTGGGTCGCTCTCTGCATTACTCTGCCTCTCTGATTGCACAGCACTCGAAAGCTCCTGTTACTGCTGATGCTTGCAGCTGGAGGACCGTTCTTGTTCGCTGCATCCAGCGGCGGCAGTCTGCGGTTTGTCCCTAATCTGCATATCGCCCTGCTGGCAACTGGCAGCTTCGCACTGCGGCGGGCTGCAGGAATGTTCACCGCACACATAACTCATTTGAAATTCACGCTTGCAACGATTGCAGCGCTTGCAGCGCTCTCCACCCCCTTCTCTCGCTATGCCCCTTGGACAATCGACTCTAACGCTTGGACAATCCACTCTCCAGTCTCCACTTTCCCATCTCTATATTTCTGTTGTTCTCCCGCTAGGACATTCTTCTCTCCCATGGACCTGCTTTCTCCCGCTGTGCTGTGTGTGTCTCTCTCCCCTCTCTCTCTCTCTCTCTCTCTCTCTCTCTGGCTCTGCACTTGGCTTACAATTATTATTGCATAGTGTGTTGGTAGCAAGGGGTTTGCATGTATATATATATATAGGGTGTGTGGGGTGTGCTTTTTTTGGTATACCCACTGTGATAGTTTGCGCCGCCTTTTTGCAATATTCGTTGTTTCTGTAGGAGGTTCTGTGGCTGCTGCAGCTGCTCCTCCTGCTACTGCTACTGGTTCAGCTTCTGCTCCCGTTGTGGCTCCTTCAGTTAATGGCTGCCACTGCTGCTGCTGCCACTGCTGCTGCTGCTACAACTGCTGCCGCTGCTGTTCTCTTGATAAAATCGGCAACAAATTTTTGGCACGCGCGTGTCACTGTGCAAGGAGTACAAGGAGTAGTATATGGATACAACACAAATGCTGCAGCTGTCCGTCCATATTGCCATTTATGGTGTATTGGTGTGTGTGTGTGTGTGGTTTCAGTGTTTGTGTGTATGAGTGTTGGAAAAAGTCAAAGAGCGATCCAGCAGCCAGTAGTCCGGATTGGAGTGGCTTATGTTGGCTGCATTCGCTGTTGTTGAACTTTTTGCCACTGTTGTTGAAGTTTTTTCTTCTGCTCGTGCTGATATTTTGCCTTTAGCTCTGTAATTCGTTCACCCTTTTGTTGTAGTCCTGCCTTCTGGTGTTTCAGTGTTTCCGTTGGTCTTGCCAGATAGTGTATGGTCTGAGGGACTTCAAGTTCTTTCTCTTTTTTCTTTAGAAGTTTTTGCTGCTGTTGTTGAAGTTTTTCCTTCAGTTGTTGTAGAGTTGTTACCTCTGGTTGTTGTTGTTGTTGCTGTTGTTGTTGCTGTTGTTGGTGATGTTGCCGTTGCTGTTGTTGTTGTTGTGGTTGCTGCTGTTGTTGTGGATTTTCCTGTTGCCGAGTGGACATTTTCATACGAATTTCTATTTGCGGCCGCAATGGGCCACTACTTTTTCTTGCACTTGTTTTTTTTCAAACAAAATTATACATTTATGAACTATAGAATAACAGCAAAAAAAAAATAGTATTTATATAGATATATCCATACGAGAATATACATATGTATGTATATTTATATACGCGACACCCACGACGAGGCGCATTCAACTCTGCGTTGCAAGTAGCCGCTGTCTGTCTGCACTGCCACTGCCTGTCTGCCTGCCACATCTACCCAGAGTTTTATTTTGTTGGTTTGTATTATAATTTATTCCCTTTCTTTCTTTATTTCTATTTTTACGGGCTGCCGCCACTGCGGCCACTGACTGCACACAACTTGCAACAATATTGTCGCCAGCGACTCGTTTTCGTTTTCGAGTTCGAGTGCGAATTTCGAATAGCGCTTGGAATGCCGCACAGTCCGTAATGCTGTCCGGGAGGGAATCAAAAGGGGGGAAGGAGGCTGACTGACTTGCACTCTCAATGAGCCCTTGGGCAGAGCCATGTAATGGCTAAGTGCTGATTGGAATTACCCATCCCGTCCGACGCTCATTGACCCTTTCTCTTTGTCGTATTCCCTCTGGCACTCTCCAGCTATCTCTGCGTCTTCTCTCTGGCCAACTGCTAAATGCATTTGGCGTCAAGTAGCTGTAGGACTAAATAACACCACAGAACGAAATCACTGACCGGCAAACCCACTGACCCCGACACTGGCTATAGTCTCGGCACTACCTTGTGTGCCCTCGGCAGCTGAGTTTCCCGTTCCAGACTTTGGCTTTGGGAATGGCCGTTGGCCAACGTGCCGACTGGCAGCAAGTCTGTCAAGTTGTGTACGTGACACTCCAAAATATAGTTCATAGAAAATAGCTGCCAACCGACTGTCAGTTTCGTAAACGTGTGTGGCCACTTCGACAAGTAACAGTAAATGCACTTTTGACTTTCCAGGCCCCCCCCACACCCGCAACTGAATCCCCGACACTGGCTCGTGTGACGCATGCCCACGCGGCCATTCCCAAGCTTAACGATCAATGTGCCCTGTGCAGGCAATGTACCTTATGCAAGATGCATAAGACATAAGGTAAGCCAATTCCCGCACTAAAATCACTTTCTCTCGCTCTCTCTCAATGGCTTCTTTTTACTTGAATTGAACTGAACTGCTCCCTCTTCTACGATCAGCCCTCTCTCTCGATCTCTCTCTCGATCTCTACATATTGCTATCTCCCTTTGTCAGCTGTGACTCCTGCATGATGCTGCAAGTCCCGTTACTATTATTATTATTATTGCACCTTACACGCTTATACGCTGCTATGCATGTGTGTGTGTGGGTGTGGTGTGTGTGTGTGTGTGGTGTATGCTTGTGTGTTTGCGACTCTTTTGCGTGGGTGTGTGTGGGTGTCTGTCGAGGTGTGTGTCTGTGTTTGTGACTGAAACAAAGTTCGAGTGCGTCGGCTGCGCGACGACGGGGCGGGGGCCACGTTGAACTTTTGAACACACAGACACGGACAGAGGGCGTCCGTCCGTCTTGCTTTCACGTTGATGTTTCCGTTAGTGTTGTTTGTGCGATACTGACTCAATTTGTTGCTCGGCACCGTGTATATACGACGCCGACGTCGACGCTGACGCTGACGTTGCTGCTCGCTCGCTTTGTCGGTCGGTGGGTCGTCGTCGTCGGCGGCATTCGGTCGACTGTTGGTCGGTCTCGGTGCCGCTCTCTGGCACGCTTGTCGGCGGGAAGGGAGTCCCGGATAGTGTGGCCAGCAGCACAGGGACAGAGACAGCGACGGTGCCAGGAGTCAGCCGAGTTGGAAATGGGGTTCGGGGTTTTGGGTCGGGTTTGGGTTTGGGTTTGGGTTCGGGTTCGGATGGGGGTCGAGTCGAGAGTCGTTCTTGTGCCAACGTTTATGCTGCTTCCTTTTATGCTTTGCGGCTTGGCTTCATCTCTTTTTGCAGTGGTGTGGCCCACCGGGGGACTCTCCTTTCCCAGCATTCACCCTCCTCGAGCATAGGCCACTACGCCACTGCAACACTTGCCACAGAGTGATGAAGAAAGCACATAACGGCTCCTCGTCGAATGCTTGCACAGTGCTGGCAATGGGCGGTCGGGAATCGCTGCGCGGAACTGGAGTTGCGAGTTGCGAGTTGCGAGCCCGGAATCGGCAGTTGCAACTCGTAATCGGGGGTATCGGAATTTGTAGTCGCCACTCTGAGTCGGTTGCCGGAATGCTTTATGCCCTATTATTCCCCATTAATGCTGTGATACTTCTGAATTCATTGTCGACATTTGTACAACAATTAATCCCCGCCCCCCCAAAATGGGAATCGCTAATCCAAATGGAAGTCAGACTGAGAGCCAATTATCGAGGGGGCTAGAGCTGCAAACTTATCCAAGGGCTCTGCTCCGAGAGATAGGCAACCCTCGAGAATTTCCAAGTTAAGTTTGATTGAAGTAAGAATTAAGGATTTATGGATTAATAATACATATGTACATATGTATGTGTACATTGTACATACACCTCCCCACGACACTTTCAACTTTTTGGTTACATTTTGTATACATTTCATCAGAGACCCCCTGCATCAGGTCAAATTTTTGAATCCCTGTCACAGTTTTCATAATAATTCTTGGTTTTTCGAATCGTTTAATTACTCAAGGAAACAATTTATGGTTTATTTGATCGCTTAGTAAATTTTCTACAGCTCAAGCAATACCGAAATTTTGGATACTGAGTCCTTGGCTTAGCTCTGTTTAGATTAAACATTTGTGAATTTTAGAATATGTTCGAAGGTATTTTCTGTAGTCAAACACTCAATGGATAATGTTGGCTTTCGTGTTTTATGGCATACATTTTTAACAGAAGAGCCCGTGGAAAGTTTTCCCTCTAGTTTTTACTTCAATTCTGCATTTAATTTTTTGTTTATCTCAGCGAAAGAACCAAAGCCGCCGCGCTGTGGAGCTTTCTTTTCACTTCAGAATTGAGGAATTTCCGAACCTGTTTGGAAGGGCTAAAGTGCTGTGGCTTTTGGGGGCTCCCGCAGTTCCGTTGCGTCACCGATGTGGCATTCGTTGTTGGTTGTTGCCACCTTTAAATACAGGGAGTGTGCGAGCGATGGCGTGGTGGCTGGAGGGGGCGGGTTCGGGTTCGGGTTCGGCGGCGGCATGGTGCAGTGTTGAGGTAGCCGCTCGGTGGTAATGGTAAATTTATGGTTCTGTGGGCGGGAACAGATGGCGGAATGGCCGGGGACTTGTGACGAAGGGGGGCGGAGAGGGGAGGCCAGTATGCTCCTGACGCTTGGCGCTTGGCGTTAACGGTGGTTCTTGATGCTTGTTTTTTTTTTGTATTTCCCATTCACATTGTAATTCCCTCGTTTTGATGTCCATTCAGAGGGTATTATTGGCATTTTGAGGCAGATGTTGGCCGTAGATCTGCTGACACTGAATAAAATACTACGCCAATCCGCACAGAATATTCCTTTTGCTCGGGCCAAAATGAAACCAAATCGAATAACAATATGGGAGGTAAATCATCCATGGAAACGATCGATGGACAACGAACTTCTTGTGGGGGAAACATTTTTTTTCCAATCAAACACTGTACAAATCCATGGGAATGATCGGTTGTGTTGTTTCAGATATTTCAACGTAGCTATAGATTTTCCAGGGTATCAATAGCGTCGACTGCAGCAGCTAGAACAGAAGTTCTTTCGGTGTTTCTTTTTTTTGTTTTGTTTTTTTTGCTGTTTTGTTTGTTCTTTTTTATTTTGTTGTATGCGTTTTTGGTTACAGCTCGAAACTGGCACGAGTCTCGACTTTTATCGCACACTACACACATGCCACTCACGCAGAGGAACAGACAGAGACAGAGAGGGAGAGAGAGATAGAACGAGAGAGTGACAGAAAAAGAGAGAGAGAGAAAGACAGATGGAACATTGATTTGGCATTTGTTTTTGCAGCTCCAGTTTTGACTTAATGCCTTCCGTCCCGTCCCATTCCGTCCCATTCCGTTGCTCCGATTATTATTGCAGAAAAACCAACATAAACTAAAAAGCTTTTTGCCAGCGCGCTGGTTGGATCAGGGGTACGTCAGACTAGGGCTCTAGTGGGGCTCTGATGGCTATATCCCTTGGTTTACCATAAATGCCAACCGACCGAACGACAGCAAGTGGAAAGAATACAAAAGCTGACAGTATTGAGTATTTCCCCAAAAAAATTCATTTCATTTTGAGGTTATATCATACATACATATGTATGTATGTATGTATATGTCCCTCTACCTGTACAAAAACAACACGCACACACGTACATGATGGGGCTGAGGGGGCATATTGATTTGTGTGTGAGAACAACAGGGGATTTTTCCCAAACCACCAACCTGTCGCTGCTAAGCAGAGCTCCCCCCAACAACATCCCACCATTAAAATGGGAAAAATTTCTGTACATAATTTATGAAAAACCTTTTCACTAAATAGTTTGTTTCCCTTTGCCATCCCCCCAAAAAAAAACAACAACAAAACAAAGTTATTCAAGCGAAATAACTTTCTCCCTAAACGGAGAAGCGAAACAACAACAACAAAAAATAAACCAGAGAAAGTATTTCCAAAAATATCCAAGGACCCCCTGAAGCAGAAGTGGAAGTTGAAGCAGGAGATGCAATCAATAGTGCTAAGGGAGCAGGGACACTCACACACACACAAAGTATTTATACCTGTGCCATGCTGGAACATCTTTTAGTTCGGCTAATGATTAATAAAACATAAAAACATAAACAATATAACTGCCACAAAGTAAGATAGTAAGTAAGTAAGTAAGATCGTTAAATTTATCATATTTCATCTAAGATCTTTTTTTTTCATTCAGCTCTGGCTTCATTGAGACTCCTTTAGCAAAGAAATGCTGGATTTATATTTTATAAATTTTATATGAAGCATGAAACATTTGCCATCTTTTACTTGAGCCAGCCATTAGTATTTCCTAATCAAAAAACAAAAAAAACACTTGAAACAGATGCAGATATACACAGTTTTAACCTCTGTCGTAATGCGCGTCGTGTGGCAGCGCTCCTCGGTTGGCTTAGCACTTCTGCCTGGGATTCACGCGTAACAAGCGTCCTAATAATATATGTACATGTACATATATCGCACATAAATTAATCATGTGGAAGTAGGCCTACATTCTTTCAACCGACTATCGAATCCATACACCAGTTTTCAGTACAGCCCTGATGCCCAAGGTTTATTTCCACACCAGGAAAAAACAACAAAGGAAAAAAATGAAATGATAGACGACGCGTCAGGAGGCCAGAGAGAAGCCTCGATTATTGGGGCCAGGCGCTGTTACGTACAATCCGAAAATTGGAGCACATTAATCAAGCCAATTAATACCCGAAACAACCAAACCTGAAAGAACAAAAAAAAAAAACGAAAAAAACCTCCGAAAAAAAAAAGGTCAACCGAAGACTCGTGTGGCACCAGTAGGGGAGGAGAATCGGAATTGGAATTGGAATTGGAATGGGTGTATGACAGGCTTTAACCCTACTAATTTTCAAAATGGAAATGCTTACGAGTCGGCGAGGAGGCGGGAACCTAGGCGAAAATGATTAACGAACGAAGCTTGCGACAGACAGGATATAATAATTTATTGATACCAAGCACACACACACACACACACACACACACACACAGCCCCACACACAAATAAGATATATGGATACATCCCACAGCATAAATATATACGCGTGTCATATCCTCAGCTACACCTTGGACATTCGCTGGTTCATTCTCCTGGTCAAGGCCCTGGGCTTTGGGCCCTCGGCTATGGGCTCTGCGTTTCACCTTACAAGTTTGCTACCCATGGACTTGACAACTAGTTTGCTGGCTTCCTGTGTTGCCGACCTCCACACGAGGGACCCTTTGGAGCACACATACACCACCTGCCTTTATATGTTGTCTGTGTGTAGATATCCAATCCACCCACACAGTTGGAAAATCGGTGACCTACAAAACAGCTAATCGTTGCTAACGGCCAAAAAAAAAGTTGCTACTGTTTCTTTTTGTTGGCTCGGGATTTGGGGAGTACCCAGCGAGGCCTGTGCGACACGCACGTGTTATGGGAGATACGCAGCCAAGGACTACGACTAGGACGAGGAATGGGTGGGAGGGAGGAAGCTAACCCATGCCATGCCATTGCCCGCAAAGAATGAATGAACGCCGCCGCCTCTTTTGTGTTTTGCTTTTTCAATAAACATTGTTTAATTTTAGTTGCAGTTTCTTATACACATTCTTATACACAAAATGAAGTAGCAGTAGTCGAAGGGTGAACTTAATTATTACGCTTGAATCGTGAACATAGAGTTAAGTTACAGTACAATCTAGTTTTAAAACTTTATCGTTCTTAAGTCAATAGAGGGGGTTGCCCGTCTACCTACCCCCACACAAAGGGCCTTTGCCATAGCATACTTTTCAGCGCAATGCGATCCAAGCGATCCCATGCGAGGTAACAGCTTCAATGAGGTCCCCCGGGTGGTGCATAAACTTATACTTAATTTTTCTAATACAAAAAAAAACATGGGGGACCTTGAGAAAGATCTCAAGAGCAGAAGAGTCAAATTCCATTGTTAGCATAGGTTTGTTTTATAGGAAAAGGGAAATGGATTCAATATATTAAAATGGAATGGAAATATTAAAATGGAATGAAAAAGATTTTAATTAAAGTAAACACTTCTGTTATGTGCCTGTGTGTAATGTGCAATATTTGTTTGTTCCATTCAATTCGTATGAATTGAAAACAAGTGTCCTTTGGGTACATTTATTTATCAATAGAGTAGCACGTGTAGTACGAGTACGATCGATTATAAAGATGAATGTTCATAGTGGTCCGTTGCCGGTGGTTTTCGTATGAGTATAAGACACAATTCATTGCATTCTGAGGATGAGAGATCGTTCAGAGATAAGGTATAGACATGGATAGATTACAATATACGAGCTTTTTGTTTTCCATTATCTGGTTGTTTTTTTTTTTTTTTTTCGTTCTGTTATTTTGGCACGCCTCAAGGCCCTCGTTTAGGTTCTCGTACAATCTGTGCGGATGGGAACTACAGACCGACCGGCCGACCGACCAACAGACAGACAGAAAGATATAGATCCATTTATTATCAAACTGAACAACAGGTGGAACGGAAGGTACACACACATACTCACACAATCATACACACATGTGGAACTGTATTGGCTAAACGATAGTCGATATATCTCTATAAAATATATATATATATATATATATGTGTGGAATGGATCCCCCTCGGGTCCGGTCCGTTGGTTTGTTTTCTTTTTAGACATCGACAACCATTTTCTTATGGATATCGGTGTTGCCCACCACCGAGCAGAACTCATCGAAGGATATCTTGCCGTCCTCGTCCTTGTCGGCAAAGCAAATGGTCTTGTCGACGATCTGCTGCAGCTGTGTATCCTTCAGATTGTTGCCGACCATCATCTTGAGCACCTGGAAGAGCTCACCATTGGAGATGTACCCGTCGTTGTCCATGTCATAGATGCGGAAGGCAAAGCGCAGCTTGGAGAGCTTATCGCCACGCACACTAAACTGTGAGACGCCCTGGATGAACTCCTTGAAGTCCACCTCGCCGTTGCCATCCGCATCGAAAATGTCGATGACGCGCTGCACCAGCGGATTCTGCTGCAGCTCCGGCAGTGACATGAACTCGTCGATGCTCAAGGCGCCCGAGTTGTCCAGATCCAGCTTCCGAAAACGCTTGCCCAATCGCCGGATCTCGTCCGCATCGAAGTTGGAGCACATGTCCATCGGTAGGGAGGTCTCGTTACCCATATTTGGCCTTGGTTCTGTACCTAACAAAAACTAAACACTGTACCTCATTTTTTTTTGTCTGGGGAATGATATACCACTCTCCACGGAGGGACAACATACCTGTGGGTTTTTGTGTGTGTTTGGGAGTCCTTCCTCTCGCTCGCTCTCTCTCTCTCTCGGTCTCCCTGTCTCTCTGTCAATCGGTTGTATTCCTCAGGTGGAGGTCCTGCTCTCTGCATGAAATAAAAAGAGAAGAGAATATGTAGCAACACTTATTTTGGGGACTCAATTATATCGATTTTCCAATGGGCAAAATGTTATCCTGACGCCTGAAATTTTTCCAATCAAAGAAAGATTTCAGTTTGGATTCTCCGCTTAAGTGGGGGCTAAACAACGGTTAAGGATTCACTTGAGGTGTTTTTCCTGTCCGGAGTTGGAATATTTTGTCATTGAGCAGTTAGAAAATTACCATAAACCAACAGTCCAGCGATTTGTTAACACTAAATCTCTCTACAGCAAAAACACGACTGATTCCGGGAGGGTTTTTTCTCCATTCGTCGTGTGGCGATGGCATCAAAGTGTTAGGTATGGCTAACAACTCAGGAAGCTGCCTCTATTTAAGGTACCATAACGCGCCCTTTGCCGATTTTTGTTGCAACATGCATATGTACGTTCAGGATAAACTTTCAGTCATATAATTATTTTCTGTTTTAAATTATTGTATTTTATTTTCAACTGAGTGTGGCAAATTTCGCCGACACATGTGAACATCGAAAGGAACTGTAACTGTGATGAGAGAGAGAGAGAGAGAGAGGGCTGGGTAGCTTCACCATACCTTATGTAAATATACCCTGGCAATGATAAAAGCACAGACAGGCGCAATAACTCTTTTTGGTTGCAATGCAACTGCAGTGTGCCAGAGCGAGACGGCGGGGGGTGATGAGTGCTGGAGAGCACACGAATGTCGGGCAGCAGACTGTTGCTTCTCGCACCTGAAATGCATTAATTTTGTGGCATACTTTTAAGAGTACAGATCAATCTACGCATCGTAATTAAAATTTTGCATAGTTTTGGGAAAACGTTGAGAAAACTGGAATATCAGGTATTTTCATACGCGTTAGGTAATTTTAACCGATAAATATGTTATCGAAATCAGAGCGCGCTGAAATGTATATTCAAAAGAAAAAATTTTCAATATCAAAATTTTGCGTGGGCGTATTATCTCTGTATGGCTTTACTGAATACAACATCGAAGTTTTTTTGAGCGTAATACATAAACATCAAGTGGAAAACTAAATGCCACGCGTCAATTGAGACTTGGGCAGAGGGAAACAACTATTAGCGAATCTACAAACAAACTTACACAGAATTAAAATTAAACAAACAAATAAAGGTGACTACAGCTCATTATTGACCTGCTTCTTTTTCTCTTTCAGATAGTCCTCCTCATCCGTGCTAATATCGTATACATCTCGTGACTTGGGCTTAAGCTGCTGCTCGACCTTGGCCTTCTTTAGAATATTTTCTGCAAAAGAAAACGAGTTGGAAATCGTCTCTCAAGATCCATACAGAAACAGAGACAGGGACACACACACTCACCATGTGCAACGCGCTCCAGTTCATCTTCAGTGTCGATGCCGGAGGAGATATCGTGGGTGACATTGGTATTGTTCTCCTGGCTATGATCTGCATCATCTATTTCTACCACCACATCGGTGGGAACGTGAACAGACATTTCAATATCGCCAGACAGCTGCGGCTTTGGCCGGGTTTTTGGCTTCAGTGATGTATCGTGCAGCTCCTCATCGCTCTCCGGCTGGCCCACCTCGTCCGTGTCCAAGGCATATCGACGCCAGGGCAAGTACTTCTTGTGTGCATGACACTTCTCGATCCAGCTGCGGGTCACGATCTTGCCCTTGCCTCGAACCTCCCTATACTTGGGTGTGTTCTTGAAGGCGCAGCTGGAAGAAATTAAAGCAACAATTAAACGGTGGAACGGTGGAACGGCGAAGGATGTGGATGAGGATGATGAAGCTTACATCAGATGCGTGCAGCCAGACTCCCAGTCAGCCTTGTACCTGGCCCCCATGGCCGTTGCTTTTGCGCGAAGGTCCGCGCGATCGGGATTCTGCAAGGGAAACACATAGTTATACGATTGGTTGTACACTTCCCATGTATGATTGTATCTTGCCTGTATTCCGCTGATGACCAAGACTACGCCGCGCAGCAGCTGATTAAAGGGTCGATACTGGATGGTGGCTTCTTTTATCTTTAGCTTTTTGGCTGGCGTGGCAGCGCCACGAGTCGGCGATGAGTGGCGCTTATGAGCTGACGGTCTGGGACTATCCTTTGATCTGTCGCTATCCCTGGGCCTTTGGCTCTCCTTTGATCTGTCCCTGGGACTGTCCTTGGGCTTCGGGCTGTCCACTTTTGGTGGTGGTGCCTTGTCTATGGAATGACGCTTGGACTTTTCTTTCCTTCGCTCCCTCTCCAGCTTCTCCTGCTCCACGCGTCGCCTATCCTTGTCGGCCTTAAGGTGCTTGCTCAGGCGCTGCTTCCTCGCATCCTTATCATCGGCATCATCGTCAGCGTCGTCGTCCCCGAACAAAAGTGAGGCTCGATTGCGATCCAACGGCTTTGCATCCGTCTTACCCTCGCCAGCAGGAGAGGCAGAACGTGAAACTGGCGCTGGTGCTGGTGCTGGCGATGGACTGGACGGTTTCGTGTTGCTCAGCCGTCGCATCACTGCAGAGGCATCTCGAATGGCGGCCGCTGTGCTGGCAGGAGCTGCTGGCTGCTGCGAATCCTTCCAACGCTTGAAACGCATTAATGGTGTGTCCGTGTCCGAGTCTGGCGACTCCTCCCGCAGCTTGTATGCCCCAAATTGCATTATCCGCTCGGGTAACAGCGATTTGGGCTTGGATGCAGCTGCTGTGGCACTTGTGGCAGTCGCTTGGGCCGTCACGTGTACCTTGACGAAGGACAGACCGTACTGGACGTGCTTGTTGAATGGCTGGGTGCAGACGATCTTAAGCAGCTTCCATTTCTCGGTCAATACTGTGGAGTCCAGGGCTGAGCCGCTGAAGCAGCGCACACGATTCTGGTTGCTGGAGTTCTTGCTCTCGATGGGCGTCATGAAGGAGCTGGAGAGAAGCAGTTCCTTGAAGTCGTCCACCCGGCAGCCCGACCTGCTGACCAGCACCTCAATGAAGGCGGAGTGCTCATTGCCAAGATCGATGCCGGTGACTTGCTGCGGATCGGCAAACTCCAGTATCACATAGGCGCTTTTCTCGCCGACCGATCGTGTCTTCCATTTCTTGCCGGCGTTCTCCTTTAGCAGATTCTCGGCCACATGGACCTGCAGGGTGCAGCAAATGGATGTGAATGTAGGATTTGGGGATTTGGTCATGGAATCTTACCGGGTCCTCGCTGCTGACTTCTCGCACGGATTTCAAAATCGCGATCGGCATTTCGCAATGTTTTGCTTTGCACAAACCGAGACGCCGCTTCTAGCGCCAATCGATCGATTTTCGATAGTACTGATTCAATTAATGGCGTAATTGGCCATAAGAGCCAGGTGGATGGTGCAACACCCCCAGGCAGAACGAAAAAAAAACGTTAAATATAATGTGACATATACTATTTTGACTTGTTTTACTCGAATAAACTAATAAATTTAATTTTCTATGTATGTGCGAGAGTGCCATCGCCTATCGAAAAGTTCCACGCAGATGTTTTTCGATAGGTCTGAAGCCCGCGCACCGAAGTGGCAACGCCAGGAGAAAGTGGCAATTAATAACAAATAAATAACAAGTGAAAGTGCAGAATTAGTTTTAATTAATATTAACTAATTAATAGCTAAGACCAGCTACAATTGAACTATTAGAATAGGGCCACATTCTGGCGGGTTGTGGCACCTTGCGGGTTAAGGTGAACTTATTCATTTCGTTCAGGGCAGTTCTTTTTTTGTTCGTTCATGAACAACAATTGTAGACAACAAAAATAATGGACATTAATGCCAGAGCAAAGGAGAAGCCACAGTCTGGTGGCGCTGCTCCTCAAGCTCCGCTGCCAGCTCGGGCGGCTGCAATGCTGCCAAGAAAACTGAACGAGACGCAGGAGGAGACGGAGTCGGAGACAGAGGCCTCGAACAGCTGCAATGCGAATGCCAACGACTGGATACACTTCTCGCAGTGGATTCACTGCTTTTGCGTGGTCACCTTCGACCTAAACCTGGGCCAGGCCCTGGAGTATGTCTATCCGCCAGAGTTCATGCCCAGCGACCAGGAGGTGAGCAACATTTGCTACATGGCCTTCCCCGACTCCAACTCGGGCTGCATGGGCGACACCAAGTTCCATATGCGTCTGCGTGCCATCGCCAAGCAGCAGCACCAGCAGAAGCCCCTGCCCATCTACAATGGCGACTGTGCCCCGGCCCTGCGCCAGGATAGCTCCCACTACTGGGGCTTCGTCTACTTCCGGCAGAAGCGGGATGCGAACCTGCCGCGCGGCTATTTCCAGAAGAGCTTCATCATCATCACGCGCCTGCCCTTCTTCAATCTCTACTACGACATACTGGCCCAACTGGCGCCTAAATACTTCGACGAGGGCACCGACATCCTGCGGCAGGCCTGCGAGCAGATCAACAGCCACTGGCCCGGACTGCGCGTGGGCCAGACCCTCCACCTGCCGCTGCTCGAATGCAACTATCAGATCTGCATTCCGCGTGCGACCAGCAGTCGCAAATCACCCACCGAATCCGCATCATCATCATCCAACGAATTTTCTGCCCCGCAGACGCTGGCCAGCAGCAAGGTGCTGTCGTCGGTCAACGAAATCGAACTCTTCCGCTCCCTCAGCTTTGTGATGGAGCAGCTGTACACGCTCTGGGAACTAGTCATCACCGCCGAGCCCATTGTGGTGGTGGCCACCTCTCCCGCCGACTGCTCGCACATGGTGCAAGCGCTGGTGGCGCTCATCGCACCGCTGGAATACTGCGCCGAGGCGCGGCCCTACTTCACCATTCACGACAGCGAATTCCGGGAGTTCACCCAGGAGTGTTCCAGCAAAACGGGCCTCCCTGCCTGCATTCTGGGCGTCACAAATCCGTTCTTTGTCAAACTGCTCAAGGATTGGCCCCACATGCTTCGTCTAGTAGACAATCAGGTAAGCACTGCAGCTTCCTCTATATATCTTTATCTATATGTGCCTCTATCTATATTTGCCTCTCTTTCGCTTTCGTGTTGCACAGAAGAACATGCAGCAGCAGCAGCAACTGCTGATGGGACAGAAGAGCTCACACCGCAATGCCACCTCCTTCTCCAGTGGCTCCTCTGCTGACCAGCTGGCCAGCAGATCATCAATGAAGACCACACCGGCTCTGAATGGCGGTGGCAGCTCAAATGGAACGGATGGGAGCTCGGCGTCGGGGCTGCACACCAAGTACAAGCCGTATCTGAAAAAGGACAAGGCGCTGATCAAGAAGGTGCTGCTGGGTCTGAAGACCAAGCGGCCGGAGCATGTGCAGACGGCGCTGATACGGCGACATTTACTGGAGCTGACGCAGAGCTTCATGATACCGCTGGAGCGATACATGGCCTCGCTGATGCCGCTGCAGAAGGATATCAGTCCGTTTAAGTCGGCGCCGAATGCGAGCAGCTTTAAGCTGGACGACTTCCTGGCCACCCTAGAGACGGCCGGGCCACAGCTAACGTCGCCCCTCAAGGGCGACTGGAAGGGCCTGTACAGGCGCTTCTTTCGCTCGCCCAACTTTCGCGGCTGGTACGAGTCGCGGCATCGCGAGCTTCAGCTCACCCTCCAGGATCTACAGCTGCAGGCCCTCTCCGAGGCGAATCTGGAGCACTGGGCCCACGACAAGCAGGAGGTGGAGATCATCGATATGATACTCAAGCTCAAGCAGAAACTGAATCTCTACAGCGACAAGTCGCAGGGCCTGGATGGTATCGCCTGGCTCAGCGCCCACAACAGCAGCAGTGCCAGCCATCGGATGAGCACACAGCAGCAGATCCAGGCGCAGATTGAGTGCATGAAGGGTCTGCTGCCGCCCGATCTCAAGAATGTGGTGAATCTTTGATCGTTTGTGCAGATGCTTAGCTACATTAATGGCGCTTCCCATACACTACGCCCCAACCCAACCCCACATTTTCAAACTTCTTTAATTGTATGCGAGTGAGTGCCTGCGTGTGTCTGTGTCGTGTGATTTTGTGTATTCCGTCAGTGGAGTGTCCGTTTGGCAGGGGCTTGGGTTAGTTTACTGTGGGACTCCTCTTCATAGTTGTATATACGTTTTAACTGTCTAATCGGATCTGATTTACTGATACAATATCCGTGTCTATTTTAAGTGTAAAATAAATCCTCTAACTGAATCTACGAAAAGTATTACAAATTGAAATTGCTCTAATAACGATATTCAGTTCGTTGCATGCAATATATGAGTATTAATTGGGTCTGCTGGCAACTTAACGGATTAATCGCGCTCTCGGAAGGCTTCTCTTTATTCCGCAACACACAAAAAAAGGAGCGGAGCACGAAAATGCCTGAAGGGAAACAAACAAAAACAGTTATTCTTTCACACTGTGAGAAACAAAGGGAATGCATTGTTTCACCAGTTCGATTTGAACTTTGCGTTGCCAATTCGATAATAAAACAAGGAATTTTCAGCAATAGAAATTAGATACATATGTACATATATTATTTTCCTTAAATGATGCGCCCCACTGAATATGTATGTAAATTGCTCTCAGTGTTGTGCGCTCTCTCGCATACTTCTCTTTTTCTCTCTGCCACAGACAACACTGTGCATCGTCTCTTTCTGATCACTGTTTTGCGGTAAAAATGCAGTTTGCTTATTTAGGTTTGTTCTTCTTCTCTTTTGTTGTGCGTTTGGATTTAAGAGATTTACTGATCCTACGGTCCATAATGTTGAACATTTCTATGGGGGTATTATCCAGCACAAAAGTATCCTAAACAGGGAGGGAGCACCTCCTCCTTTTGTGGAAACCCAAAATTACTGTGCATGGGGAAATGAGTGGTTCCAAGGTTTTATTATCATATAAATTACAAAGAAAACAAAAATAACTTAACCAATTCATGAGGATTAAATGTGATTGAATATAAACGAGCAAACGACAAGGGATGCGGGTGGATTTTGGGGCGATGGAATGGTTTTTTTTTAGATAAGAAAGACAATGTCGTCGGCCACCATGATCTGGTTGTCCTCGGTCATACGGTGGACAGCGGCCTCGATCTCGCTGCTGGCAAATGGCTCCGCGTTATTCTCATTGATGGCCGTTGTGATGCGGCCGAGGGGCAGGCTCTGCTCGCGTGCCTCGCGGAACAGGCGCTGCAGGCCGTTCTTGAAGGTCCCCAAACGGTCATCGGTAATGGTGGCCGGCGTTGGCGTGGCGCTGACCGACTGCTCCTCACTGCTGCCCAACTGGCTGGCGCTAGTGGTGCTGCTGCTGGTCGCACCGTTGCGGACAGCTGGTAAAGAGCGACGGGTCTCTCGACGCGTCAGATCGCCGGCATCCGGCTGTGGTGGCTCGATATCCTCCTCGTCGCTATCGACAAAAGCATGAGGATCGGCCTCGGTGCGGGTGCGCTTGCTGCGGCGTGTGGGCGAACGTTCGCTGGCGACATCAGTGGCGGCGACGGCATCGTCCTCATCATCGGAGGCGCCGCTATGGCGGCGACGCTTGTTGCCGCGCTCCTTCTCCAGGACCTTCTTGAAGTAGGCAAACTGCACCAGCTCAATGGCCGACAGGGCATCGTCTATGGTCACCGTCTTGGACATGCGGGCGCGTGCATGGGCCGTGGACAGACGAATCAGCGTCTCCAAGGTACGGGCCGTGATGGGCTGTGTGCGTGCCACATCGCTGTCGACGGCCTCCTGGGAGCGGAGGCGCGAGTACTCATTGGCAATGGCCTCGCATGCCTGCTCACTCAGCTTCGGCTTCATGCACTTGGCCACATGGATGTACTTGCGCATAAACTCCACGGAGAGGATCTTCTCCTGGCGCTGGCGCGACTTTCCATGCAGCAGGGCATCATATTTCTCATAGACCTCGGTGTCCTTTTTCTCCTCGCTGCTGGAGACAAAGGAGAGCGAGTCCGCGTAGGAGCTGCCCATCGATAGGGGCTCACCGTCGGCCTCTTTCGGATTGCGATAGCGATGCATGCGCACCACATGGTCGGATATCATTTGGTCCACATCGCTGTCGATCACGTCCAGCATCACAAAGAGCAGATCGAAACGCGACAGCAGCGAGTCCTGCAGCCCAATATTCTCCATGGGCGTCTTGTACTGATCGTACTGCAAAAAGAAAGTAGGGATTTATAAGAATTATAGACAAAGGAATGGGAGAATTGGCTCACCCTTCCGTAGACGGGATTGGCAGCTGCCAGGACAGAGCAGCGGGCATTGAGAGACGCATGAATGCCCGCCTTGGAGATGGTGACGCGACCCTGTTCCATCACCTCGTGTATGGCCGTGCGATCAATGTCGCTCATCTTGTCGAACTCATCGATGCAGACGACACCGCGATCGGCCAGAACCATGGCGCCAGCCTCCAAGCGACGCTCGCCCGTCTCCTGATCGGTGGTAACGGCCGCCGTCAGACCAACGCCACTGGAGCCACGTCCAGTGGTGGGTATGGCACGCGGTGCCGTATTGAGTACGTAGCGCAGCAGCTGAGACTTGGCCACCGACGGATCGCCGATTAGGAGCACATTAATGTCGCCACGCAGCCGTGTACCGTTGGGCAGGAGCTTCTCCACGCCGCCGAGCAGCAGGCAGAGAATGGCCTTCTTCACATACACATGGCCATGGATCGAGGGGGCCAGACTCTTGCTAAGCAGCTCGAATATGTCGTTGTTCTTGGCCAGCTTCTTGCACACCATAATGTCCTCGCGCGAGATGTCCAGGTTGTTCTCCTTGCTAAGCAGCGAGATGTTGTTGGCCAGCAGCACTGTGCGAAAGGTGCCCGATGTGTAGCCGCCGCGCTTGCTTGGCAGACAGCGATAGCTGCCCACGATCTGGACGCGATCGCCGGGCTTGCAGCGATCGACGAGATCATCATCGCAGACAATGTCAACGGAGCGGGGTAGCTGGCCGGCCGGGGCCTTCTCGGGCATCTCCTGTATGGTGAGCGTTTGGTGGTCTTTGTAGACCGACAGCCCGAACTCTGTCTCCAGCAGATTGCCGTCGTCGTCCTTGGTGGGATAGGCAGCGCCAGAGGGCACGGCCTCGAAGGAGGTGAGGTCTGTGTACTTGCGCTCCAGCACTTTGCGCGTATTGGGACAGTAGTGGACGCTGCGTACCACCTTGGGCCGGATGAGGGAGACCTTTGTGACGATGCCCTCCACACAGACCATGTTGCCAAGGTAAATGCAGGTAAGCGAACGCGGCGTCACATGCCGATTGCCAAAGCAGCCCTCGAAGCCCACAAAGAAGTCTTCGTGCAGCTTGGCATAGCTGGGATCCACCGTGGACGCGTACTCCTTGAGAGCGCGACCGAAGGCCAGCTGCTCGTCGGATGCGTTGCTCAGCAGCCCCATGGCGCGCTGCGGATTCTTGCGCTTAAGATCGTTGATGTTCACCACAAGACGCTTGCTCTTTTCGGCAATCATGTCCTTCACATGGCCGGAATAGATTCCCTGGTCCTCTTCATCGTCCAGAAAGTCCACATACTCGCGCTGTATGTCCCTAATAAACTGCTCGCCATCATGGGCCATTGTTATGTTTCACTTGAACTTCAACTCTCGATCGATCAGCAATCAAACACAAACAAATTCTTCTGTTGCACCCGGCGAGACGCTTGAAACCAAACACAATAAATTTTTGGTGCCAAATGCGCCGTATGCACACTTTTTGGCGGGAAAAAGTGCAGGGATGTGAAATATATATTAATATATCGATATATATTTTGGGTACATAATATATTTCCAGGTGATAGTTTTCCTTGGACTGGCGAACCTAAGTTTATTTTTTGTGGGATATATCTTCAACGGGACTATTTTTGAGTTCAGGGTAAATCGGCATTATGTTTCTGTGGCTTCAAGACTTGATCGGATTATACCGACTTTTTATTCTACCTATCGATGCATGCACAATAATAATATCGGTATTTTTGTGCGATAATCAGCACTCGAAATGGCGTTTATGGTCGTATTCCACTAGTCTAAATAGGTGATACACAAACACAACGATACATTTATGTTAATGTTTCTGGTTCACCAAAAAGCACAGCACAGTTTATTTATATTCTGCAAATTATAATGTCCGAGCTTTTTATATATATGTACCTCTCACTTGCACTGAATGTTTTTCCTAATAAGGTTCTTATTGCTGGTTATTGAATAGTGATTCTATTGAAGTGTGGTGTTATACGACCATACACGTTTCCTTTTTAGTATCTAAGAATATTGCAATTAATTCCCAGAAAAAAATTGAACGAAATAACTTATTCAGTAAATTATACCATTCTGTCCAATAACATTACATACATACATATGTACATATGTTGGGCAGTAAAAGCCATAAGTAATACCAAACCCCTGCCAGGAAATGGCGCGCACTTTTAAAATGGAAATATTCAGTAGCGCCATAGAACAGCGTTTTAATTATTTAATATGTAATAATTAATTATATTATCTTTAATGAAAATGATAACCATCCGTACTACGTACGCATGTATCCGCTGTACTATTTGGTAGAAAAGATTAGTTTGGGCAAAGCGACCAGTGGTTAGGATATTTGATTTCCTCCAAGCTTGACAGAATATATCCAGCAGGAAGTACAAGTGGTATCTGGCTCCCAGCGAACAGCGATGGGGGCGGAAGTGCGAACATGTACTGCACGGGCTTGCCGACAATGGGAGCTTCCACATCAATCTGTCGAAAGGAATGGAGATTGTTAGACAAGATTTATAGACAAGCCCATAAAATTTGTACTCTTACTTTTGGTGCATCCAAAACGCGATGCCAGCCGCCTTTGTGCTGATTCTTAGCAACTTCCTTAGGGTCATCGCCTCTCAACTTGAGGTCACCCATGTTGATGTCACAGTCCTTCGAAGATGTCATGTTAAAATAGGCATCAAAGGACGAAGTTTCCTGCGGGAGAGACGAAAGTCCAAACAAAAGTTTTTCCTGCGCAATCAAGGTACGTTCAGCTTCATCGAGCTCCCTCAGGACCTCATAATCATTTTGGGGACCATCGAGCATTGTCTCTTCGCTGGGCATCTCATTCGACCCCAGCTTTAAGTGTTTGTTCTGCGAAAACACCCAGCGTTTGATATCATTGTGTTTAATTCTCTTCTTATTCTCCGCTGACAGATTGTCCTGATAACACATCCAGCTTTTAATATCATCGTGGTTCGTCTTCTTCTGTTCCCACGGTGACTGATTCCCCTGCGCAACCAACAAGCGCCCAATGTCAGCGAGATTCTTCTGCGCATTATATTCAATTTGGCGGCTGACCAGTCCAATCTCTGAGACTCTCTCTGAAATCTGCCGAGACGTTCTAATTACATATTTATGCACATGTATTAACAGTTTCGCATAGATTTGTATAATTACCTTCTCTGAATTCTCCAAGGGAGTCTTCCCTCGCTGTCGTTCTTGCGTCCAAAAAAATCCATTTCGACTTCAAACGCGACTCAAAGAAAAATAATCCTTCTATCCCATTTTACCGATTTTTCGAGCGGTGCTGTTTTGCGGCGCCACCCGAGAATGTCAGGTTCAGTGTGTGTAAGAGGGAGACAAGAGGTGTTTTGCTTCGAATAGGATCTCAGTAATGTGTGAGCGGTAGAGAATGCTGCTGTCATTTCCTCAGTTTCTGCTCTGCCTTGCCATTCGCCATATATATTTGTGTGTGTGCTTATATGTATGCATTCCACTTTTGCGCCTGTTTCAACCATTTTATCCCGTTCATCAATAGACAGAAAGAAAAACTGCGCTACAACACCCTTGCAGAGGATATATTTACTTTGGCAGAGCTTTGTAACACATAGAGTATACATTTTTATATATATAGTATATAAGTGCATATACTATATCTGTATGTATATATATATGTACTGGCTGAACATACAGGGTGTTTCTATGTAAACTATTCTCTCAGACTGTCTTCCGCTTTTGCATCAGTATCAGGCCATTGTTTGGAGTGGGAGATCCTTGCCGCAATACGTGGTTGTGCGAGTATACCAATGTTGATCCATTCTTTTCCAGGGTTTGAGCAAAGGAAAATAGAAAATGGCAAGCATCAGTCTCTGTCTCATGCCAGCCAACGGCTTTAGAAATACATACATATGTACATACAAACATAAGCAGAAACGCACAAATGTACATAGCAGCAAATGAAAGAGTGGAACAGAGCCTGATAGAAAATGTTGCAAAAGCGGGAAGCGAGGCGACTGCCTTCGTGTCCTCTGCCGAGAGATAGACAACATCATATACATATGTACATACAATAATTATAACAAAGACAATAATTCTCGTGCATTTTCTTTGTACATTTGTATTGAATAACGTTTGTCCGATTATGACAGGGAGCCACTGTATATGTACATATGTATGTATGTATGTACGTACCTCTCATCTGACGTTAAAATGGTTGAAACAGGCGAAAAAGTGTATACACACACACATATTTTAGCCAACAGCTACTGGAATACATACATATAAACACACCACACACAAATAAATATGGCGAATGGCAAGGCAAAGCAGAATCTGAGGAAATGACAGCAGCATTCTCAGACGAGAGGACGCCGTACCGCTCGCACAGCACTGAGATCCTATTCGAAGCAAAACACCTATTGTCTCCCTCTTACACACACTGAACCTGACATTCTCGTGTGGCGCCGCAGAACCGCAGAGAACAACCGCTCGAAATATCACGAAATCGGCTGAATAGTTTTTCTTCGAGTCGCGTTTGAAGTCGACATGGATTTTTTTGGATGCAAGAACGACAGCGAGAGGCTGACTCCCCTGGAGAATTCAGAGAAGGAGTTTGTAAGTGGATCAAATATATGCGAAACAGTCAATACATGTACATAAATATGTAATTGGAACGTCTCGGCAGATTTCTGGGCAAGCTGAATCGGAACGCAACGTCAGTTTGGTTGATGAGCACGGGGACGAGGACGTGCAGAAGAGTACGTCTGGGCTTTCGCCGCTTGTGGATATCATCCGAAAACTGTCAAAACTGTCCAGAACGAATGAGGCACTCAGTATGGATCTATCCACAGGGACTTCGACAAAACGTATGCCCGTCAACCGTCAAATTGAATATGAGCCACAGAATTCGGGCAGCAACATGGCTGACTTAGGTCAGTTGGGTGGCGAGCAGCCGAAGGAAACTGCGAATAATCAGCACCAATGCGGTTGGCATTACGTTTTGCATGTATGTACCAACAGTAAGACTCTAAATTTGATTGTTTTCTCCATAATCTTGTCCAACTGTCCCCATTATTTTCGACAGATGGATGGGGAATCTCCCAATATCGACAAGCCGGTACAGTATGAGTCTCCACTTCCGCACCCATCGTACCCATCGTACTTAGGAGTCACCGTTGTTGGCTGGGAGCAAGAAACCACTTTGCCTGCTGGATATGATCTGTCAAGCATGCAGGAAATCAAAGATCCCAACCATTAGTCGGTACTAAACTTTTCTATCATATAATCCTTAGAACTTATAGTAAAACAGATGCCTGTATGAGGTATGGGAAACCTGTTTATGTTCAATAAAGTCTTATTGGTACACTTCAATCCATATATTTAGTTGGCTCTAATGTTGCTTATGTCCGCATTCCACTAGACTTGACTTAAACTGACTGTTTGTTTGGTGAGACGAGATATAAAGCGTATGGGAGAAGCAATGAGTGCAAGCGAGAGAAATGTATGTTTCGTTTGGCTCTTTTAATGTAACTGGTAGCAGCGCATCTTCAGAATTGTACATTGAAGGTACAATTTGGCTAGAACTGAACGGCTGTGCGTTTTTGCGAACCAACCAAAATTAAAAAGGAATTATCTTTGTCTACCAATCTGCATTTGACGCCTATTGGCGTACTGTTTCTTTGCTAAAAAAAAACATCGTAAATTTCGATGTTTCATCACAAATATCGATGCTGCCCCAGCTCTACATTGGCGGCCATTTTGGATAAGGAAAACAACCAAAGTTTAGATCGCGCGTTTTTGTTTGTCAATATTCACTTGTTTGCTCCTCGAAACACACAGAAATAATAATGAACAGTGATGATAATGCGTGCGCCTTTGATGGCAACCAGCAAGAAGCGAAAGAAGCGGTGTGCGATCCCGTTTCAATGATCCAGGCGTATTTGGAAGAGTTGCTGCGCCAAACGGTAAGCGGCAGGCCATCATTTCACAATCTGTATGCTGTATGATTTACAGCACGCCGAGAATACATGTTTGGAAACCGAACTTAATGAGCTGGAAGAAAAACAGAAGCGGCTAACTGATCAGAAGGCTGAAACCATCTGCAGGATGAGCCTTCCGATCGTTGGGGAGAATTCGATACAGCTGCTGCCCAATTTGGATGAACTGACTGCGAAGGAGAATATTCTGAGCAGTCAACTGAGCGATCTGGTGAAAGTAAAGCAACAATTGGGCCTGGCCTATGCTGATCATTGCCAAAAGGCCATACAGGTCACCGAGGGGCAGGGCGGTAATGTGGCCTATGATGAGTTCACATCGATGGTATGTCATGAGATCATTCTGCACCTATGCATTTCATCTCGGTGTACATATGTGTTTGTTTTTTCAGAGCTATGAAGATCTAAAGAAGCTCATTAAAGAAGATTCTATTAAACTAAGTGAAATGAAAAGAAAGTCTGTGGAATTGACCGACATACTACGCTCCAAGCGCAAGGAGCAGGATGCGAGTCATAAGGCCGTGCTGGAGCAAATCAGTATACTGGAACTGGTCGCGCTCGAAGCCTTGTAAGCATACAACATACACATACATATTGCATACATATTTGTTAATATTGCATATTTGTTATCCTCCATTGCAGCGAACTCGCTAACGAAGTTAAATTGGATTTAAATCATCGCAATGACGGCCACCCCTTCAATTAGATTAGTACGGAATTCATGCTGGTGTGAAACTTTCATACAATTAACCATATTCTTAAACTAATAAAACCCATTTCCATAACATTTCCCCGACAGCAAAGTCTGTACATACATACATATGTAAAGACAAGGACGGGGCGCGTAGTCTCGTTTATATGCGAAAATTTGCACCTACACCGGCTGCCCTAAGAAGTGGCAACGCGGCGCAAGGCCTGAAGAAAACACAGCTGATGGGGCTGCCAGATAGTTTCACGTTTTTGTGAAATTGCCTTTTTAGCGGCCGCCTGCTGGATTTTAGATATTTAGTTGTGAAATTTTAATATTATTTGATTTGAGATTTGAGAGCGACCATGGACGATTCCTCAAGGCAGCACATGGAAGAATTCTGCTTCATGCGGCCACCCAGCGACGTCCGCACCACGTAAGTGCTTCTAGCCGGGCGACCCGAACATTTACGTGGATGAAATCAGCGCGTTCTCTTCATTTCTGTAAAGCAACGTGCCTGTTGCTACTCCCAGGTCGGTGGCGGACAACAAATCACGCAAAACAGAGCTGCATGTCGTACGGCTGAGCGATGAGTCCAAGCAGATGACCATGGACACCTTACGGACCATACACGGGCCGGACTTTAAGCTGGAGGACATCAGTAAGTACAAGGACCGCGGGAGAGGCGGCCACGGTGTCAAGCATGCCTATTGGCAGGACCGTGGCACGCTGATGGTGCAGAGTGTCCAGGGGGTCAGCTCCACCAGAGGCGATGGCAGCGACGAGGATCGCCTTCGCCGCTATGCCCTGCTCAAGCTGGAGTGCTACGGCTTCCATGCCTCCCACTGCCTCGAGGCCTACCAGCACTGCAGCAACGATACGGAAGCGGCCCTGCTGCTGCTCTATAAGCGATATGCACGTCCTCGAAAAGGAAAAGCTTAACCTTGAGCCACCCAGCGAGCAGGAGCTACTGGACATGCGCTCCGATGAGAAGGAAGCCCTCGAATCCATCTACGATCGGACCTACGAGGAGCGTGAGTGCAATCGGGTGTGGAATCTCAAGTTAAAGATCGACCACCTACTGGCCCATAGCCCCTCAGAGGTTCGAAAGGCTCGTGAGGCTGCCGCCGCAGCAGCAGCCGCCTCTGTCCAGGCAGCCCTCGACAAGAAGAAGAAGGCGCCGCAGCGGTGTCGCAACTTCGAACGCGATGGCACCTGTAAATACGGTCCCAAGTGTCGCTTTGCCCATGTGCCGGCCCAGCCCGTTCTTCCTTCCACACCAAAGAAAGGTTAGTGAGTGGATTGTCGGTGCTTCAGATCTAAAAATCTTTTGGTGTTAATTCGCAGATAATCTGGATGAGAACGACAACGAGCTGTGGTTCCATGTGGAGGTGCGCTTTCCATGCCATCCAACGGCTTTAGACATACATACATATGTACAAACAAACATACACAGAAACGCACAAATGTACATAGCAGCAAACGAAAGAGTGGAACAGAGCCTGATAGAAAATGTGTCAAAAGCGGGAAGCGAGGCGACTGCCTTCGTGTCCTCTGCCGAGAGATAGACAACATACATATACATATGTACATACAATAATTATAACAAAGACAATAATTCTAGTGCATTTCTTTGTACATTTGTATTGAATCACGTTTGTCCATATGTATGTATGTACGTATGTACGTACCTCTCATCTGAGGTTAAAATGGTTGAAATGGAATGCATACATATAAACACACCACACACGAATATATATGGCGAATGGCAAGGCAAAGCAGAATCTGAGGAAATGACAGCAGCATTCTCAGACGAGAGGACCGTACCGTTCGCACAGCACTGAGATCCTATTCGAAGCAAAACACCTGACTTTCTCGTGTGGCGCCGCAGAACCGCAGAGAACAACCGCTCGAAATACCACGAAATCGGCTGAATAGAAGGGTTATTTTTCTTTGAGTCGCGTTTGAAGTCGACATGGATTTTTTTGGACGCAAGAACGACAGTGAGAGGAGAATTCAGAGAAGGAGTTTGTAAGTGGATCAAACATATGCGAAACAGTCAATACATGTACATAAATATGTAATTGGAACGTCTCGGCAGATTTCTGGGCAAGCTGAATCGGAACGCAACGTCAGTTTGGTTGAAGAGCACGAGGACGAGGACGTGCAGAAGAGTACGTCTGGGCTTTCGCCGCTTGTGGATATCATCCGAAAACTGTCAAAACTGTCCAGAACGAATGAGGCACTCAGTATGGATCTATCCACAGGGACTTTGAAAAAACGTATGCCCGTCAACCGTCAAATTGAATATGAGCCACAGAATTCGGGCAGCAACATGGCTGACTTAGGTCAGTTGGGTGGCGAGCAGCCGAAGGAAACTGCAAATAATCAGCACCAAGGCGGTTGGCATTACGTTTTGCACGTACCAACAGTAAGACTCTAAATTTGATTGGTTTCTCCATAATCTTGTCCAACTGTCCCCATTATTTTCGACAGATGGATGGGGAATCTCCCAATATCGACAAGCCGGTACAGTATGAGTCTCCACTTCCGCACCCATCGTACTTAGGAGTCACCGTTGTTGGCTGGGAGCAAGAAACCAATTTGCCTGCTGGATATGATCTGTCAAGCATGCAGGAAATCAAAGATCCCAACCACTAGTCGGTACTAAACTTTTCTATCATATAATCCTTAAAACTTATAGTAAAACAGATGCCTGTATACAGGTATGAGAAACCTGTTTATGTTCAATAAAGTCTTATTGGTATAAACAATTCAATCCATATATTTAGTTGGCTCTAATGTTGCTTATGTCCGCATTCCACTAGACTTGACTTGAACTGACTGTTTGTTTGGTGAGACGAGATATAAAGCGTATGGGAGAAGCAGTGAGTGTAAGCGAGAAAAATGTATGTTTCGTTTGGCTCTTTAGTGTAACTGGTAGCAGCGCATCTTCAGAATTGTACATTGAAGGTACAATTTGGCTAGACCTGAACGGCTGTGCGTTTTTACGCACTTTGTCTACCAGTCTTCATTTGACGCCTATTGGCGTACTGTTTCTTTGTTTAAAAAAAAAAACATCGTAAACTTCGATGTTTCATCACAAATATCGATGCTGCCCCAGCTCCACATCGGCGGCCATTTTGGATAAGGAAAACAACCGAAGTTTAGACCGCGCGTTTTTGTTTGTCAATATTCACTTGTTTGCTCCTCGAGAACACACAAATAATAATGAACAGTGATGATAATGCGTGCGCCTTTGATGGCAACCAGCAAGCGAAAGAAGCGGTGTGCGATCCCGTTTCAATGATCCAGGCGTATTTGGAAGAGTTGCTGCGCCAAACGGTAAGCGGCAGGCCATCATTTCACAATCTGTATGCTGTATGATTTACAGCACGCCGAGAATACATCTTTGGAAACCGAACTTAATGAGCTGGAAGAAAAACAGAAGCGGATAATTGATCAGAAGGCTGAAACCATGTGCAGGATGAGCCTTCCGATCGTTGGGGAGAATTCGATACAGCTGATGCCCAATTTGGAGGAACTGACTGCGAAGGAGAATATTCTGAGCAGTCAACTGAGCGATCTGGTGAAAGTAAAGCAACGATTGGGCCTGGCCTATGCTGATCATTGCCAAAAGGCCATACAGGTCACCGAGGGACAGGGCGGTAATGTGGCCTATGATGAGTTTACATCGATGGTATGTCATGAGATCATTCTGCACCCATGCATTTCATCCCGGAGTACATATGTGTTTGTTTTTTCAGAGCTCTGAAGATCTAAAGAAGCTCATTAAAGAGGATTCTATTAAACTGAGTGAAATGAAAAGAAAGTCTGCGGAATCGACCGACATACTACGCTCCAAGCGCAAGGAGCAGGATGCGAATCATAAGGCCGTGCTGGAGCAAATCAGTATACTCGAACTGGTCGCGCTCGAAGCCTTGTAAGCATACACATACATATTTCATACATATTTGTTAATATTGCATATTTGTTTTCCTCCATTGCAGCGAACTTGCTAACGAAGTTAAAGTGGATTTAAACCATCGCAATGACGGCCATCCCTCCAATTAGATTAGTACGGAATTCATTCTGAAACTTTCATACATATAACCATTTTCTTAAACTAATAAAACCCATTTCCATAACATTTCCCCTACAGCAAAGTCTGTACATACGTATGTAAAGACAAGGACGGGGGCGCGTAGTTTCGTTTATATGCGAAAATTTGCACCTACACCGGCTGCCCTAAGAAGTGGCAACGCGGCGCAAGGGTAGAAGAAAACACAGCTGATGGGGCTGCCAGATAGTTTCACGTTTTTGTGAAATTGCCTTTTTAGCGGCCGCCTGCTGGATTTTAGATATTTAGTTGTGAAATTTTAATATTATTTGATTTGAGACTTGAGAGCGACCATGGACGATTCCTCAAGGCAGCACATGGAAGACTTCTGCTTCATGCGGCCACCCAGCGACGTCCGCACCACGTAAGTGCTTCTAGCCGGGCGACCCGAACATTTACGTGGATGAAATCATTAGCGCGTTCTCTTCATTTCTGTAAAACAACGTGCCTGTTGCTACTCCCAGGTCGGTGGCGGACAACAAATCACGCAAAACAGAGCTGCACGTCGTACGGCTGAGCGATGAGTCCAAGCAGATGACCATGGACACCTTACGGACCATACACGGGCCGGACTTTAAGCTGGAGGACATCAGTAAGTACAAGGACCGCGGGAGAGGCGGCCACGGTGTCAAGCATGCCTATTGGCAGGACCGTGGCACGCTGATGGTGCAGAGTGTCCAGGGGGTCAGCTCCACCAGAGGCGATGGCAGCGACGAGGATCGCCTTCGCCGCTATGCCCTGCTCAAGCTGGAGTGCTACGGCTTCCATGCCGCCCACTGCCTCGAGGCCTACCAGCACTGCAGCAACGATACGGAAGCGGCCCTGCTGCTGCTCTATAAGCGATATATGCACGTCCTCGAAAAGGAAAAGCTTAACCTTGAGCCACCCAGCGAGCAGGAGCTACTGGACATGCGCTCCGATGAGAAGGAAGCCCTCGAGTCCATCTACGATCGGACCTACGAGGAGCGTGAGTGCAATCGGGTGTGGAATCTCAAGTTAAAGATCGACCACCTACTGGCCCATAGCCCCTCAGAGGTTCGAAAGGCTCGTGAGGCTGCCGCCGCAGCAGCAGCCGCCTCTGTCCAGGCAGCCCTCGACAAGAAGAAGAAGGCGCCGCAGCGGTGTCGCAACTTCGAACGCGATGGCACCTGTAAATACGGTCCCAAGTGTCGCTTTGCCCATGTGCCGGCCCAGCCCGTTCTTCCTTCCACACCAAAGAAAGGTTAGTGAGTGGATTGTCGGTGCTTCAGATCTAAAAATCTTTTGGTGTTAATTCGAGATAATCTGGATGAGAACGACAACGAGCTGTGGTTCCATGTGGAGGTGCGCTTTCCATGCCATCCAACGGCTTTAGACATACATACATATGTACAAACAAACATACACAGAAACGCACAAATGTACATAGCAGCAAACGAAAGAGTGGAACAGAGCCTGATAGAAAATGTGTCAAAAGCGGGAAGCGAGGCGACTGCCTTCGTGTCCTCTGCCGAGAGATAGACAACATACATATACATATGTACATACAATAATTATAACAAAGACAATAATTCTAGTGCATTTCTTTGTACATTTGTATTGAATCACGTTTGTCCATATGTATGTATGTACGTATGTACGTACCTCTCATCTGAGGTTAAAATGGTTGAAATGGAATGCATACATATAAACACACCACACACGAATATATATGGCGAATGGCAAGGCAAAGCAGAATCTGAGGAAATGACAGCAGCATTCTCAGACGAGAGGACCGTACCGTTCGCACAGCACTGAGATCCTATTCGAAGCAAAACACCTGACTTTCTCGTGTGGCGCCGCAGAACCGCAGAGAACAACCGCTCGAAATATCACGAAATCGGCTGAATAGAAGGGTTATTTTCTTTGAGTCGCGTTTGAAGTCGACATGGATTTTTTTGGACGCAAGAACGACAGTGAGAGGAGAATTCAGAGAAGGAGTTTGTAAGTGGATCAAACATATGCGAAACAGTCAATACATGTACATAAATATGTAATTGGAACGTCTCGGCAGATTTTTGGGCAAGCTGAATCGGAACGCAACGTCAGTTTGGTTGAAGGGCACGAGGACGAGGACGTGCAGAAGAGTACGTCTGGGCTTTCGCCGCTTGTGGATATCATCCGAAAACTGTCAAAACTGTCCAGAACGAATGAGGCACTCAGTATGGATCTATCCACAGGGACATTGACAAAACGTATGCCCGTCAACCGTCAAATTGAATATGAGCCACAGAATTCGGGCAGCAACATGGCTGACTTAGGTCAGTTGGGTGGCGAGCAGCCGAAGGAAACTGCAAATAATCAGCACCAAGGCGGTTGGCATTAGGTTTTGCACCTACCAACAGTAAGACTCTAAATTTGATTGGATTCTCCATAATCTTGTCCAACTGTCCCCATTATTTTCGACAGATGGATGGGGAATCTCCCAATATCGACAAGCCGGTACAGTATGAGTCTCCACTTCCGCACCCATCGTACTTAGGAGTCACCGTTGTTGGCTGGGAGCAAGAAACCAATTTGCCTGCTGGATATGATCTGTCAAGCATGCAGGAAATCAAAGATCCCAACCACTAGTCGGTACTAAACTTTTCTATCATATAATCCTTAAAACTTATAGTAAAACAGATCCCTGTATACAGGTATGAGAAACCTGTTTATGTTCAATAAAGTTTTATTGGTATAAACAATTCAATCCATATATTTAGTTGGCTCTAATGTTGCTTATGTCCGCATTCCACTAGACTTGACTTGAACTGACTGTTTGTTTGGTGAGACGAGATATAAAGCGTATGGGAGAAGCAGTGAGTGTAAGCGAGAGAAATGTATGTTTCGTTTGGCTCTTTAGTGTAACTGGTAGCAGCGCATCTTCAGAATTGTACATTGAAGGTACAATTTGGCTAGACCTGAACGGCTGTGCGTTTTTACGAACCAACCAAAATCAAACAGAAATTATCTTTGTCTACCAGTCTTCATTTGACGCCTATTGGCGTACTGTTTCTTTGTTTAAAAAAAAAACATCGTAAACTTCGATGTTTCATCACAAATATCGATGCTGCCCCAGCTCCACATCGGCGGCCATTTTGGATAAGGAAAACAACCGAAGTTTAGACCGCGCGTTTTTGTTTGTCAATATTCACTTGTTTGCTCCTCGAGAACACACAAATAATAATGAACAGTGATGATAATGCGTGCGCCTTTGATGGCAACCAGCAAGAAGCGAAAGAAGCGGTGTGCGATCCCGTTTCAATGATCCAGGCGTATTTGGAAGAGTTGCTGCGCCAAACGGTAAGCGGCAGGCCATCATTTCACAATCTGTATGCTGTATGATTTACAGCACGCCGAGAATACATCTTTGGAAACCGAACTTAATGAGCTGGAAGAAAAACAGAAGCGGATAATTGATCAGAAGGCTGAAACCATCTGCAGGATGAGCCTTCCGATCGTTGGGGAGAATTCGATACAGCTGATGCCCAATTTGGAGGAACTGACTGCGAAGGAGAATATTCTGAGCAGTCAACTGAGCGATCTGGTGAAAGTAAAGCAACGATTGGGCCTGGCCTATGCTGATCATTGCCAAAAGGCCATACAGGTCACCGAGGGACAGGGCGGTAATGTGGCCTATGATGAGTTCACATCGATGGTATGTCATGAGATCATTCTGCACCCATGCATTTCATCCCGGAGTACATATGTGTTTGTTTTTTCAGAGCTATGAAGATCTAAAGAAGCTCATTAAAGAGGATTCTATTAAACTGAGTGAAATGAAAAGAAAGTCTGCGGAATCGACCGACATACTACGCTCCAAGCGCAAGGAGCAGGATGCGAATCATAAGGCCGTGCTGGAGCAAATCAGTATACTCGAACTGGTCGCGCTCGAAGCCTTGTAAGCATACACATACATATTTCATACATATTTGTTAATATTGCATATTTGTTTTCCTCCATTGCAGCGAACTTGCTAACGAAGTTAAAGTGGATTTAAACCATCGCAATGACGGCCATCCCTCCAATTAGATTAGTACGGAATTCATTCTGAAACTTTCATACATATAACCATTTTCTTAAACTAATAAAACCCATTTCCATAACATTTCCCCGACAGCAAAGTCTGTACATACATATGTAAAGACAAGGACGGGGGCGCGTAGTTTCGTTTATATGCGAAAATTTGCACCTACACCGGCTGCCCTAAGAAGTGGCAACGCGGCGCAAGGCCTGAAGAAAACACAGCTGATGGGGCTGCCAGATAGTTTCACGTTTTTGTGAAATTGCCTTTTTAGCGGCCGCCTGCTGGATTTTAGATATTTAGTTGTGAAATTTTAATATTATTTGATTTGAGACTTGAGAGCGACCATGGACGATTCCTCAAGGCAGCACATGGAAGACTTCTGCTTCATGCGGCCACCCAGCGACGTCCGCACCACGTAAGTGCTTCTAGCCGGGCGACCCGAACATTTACGTGGATGAAATCATTAGCGCGTTCTCTTCATTTCTGTAAAGCAACGTGCCTGTTGCTACTCCCAGGTCGGTGGCGGACAACAAATCGCGCAAAACAGAGCTGCACGTCGTACGGCTGAGCGATGAGTCCAAGCAGATGACCATGGACACCTTACGGACCATACACGGGCCGGACTTTAAGCTGGAGGACATCAGTAAGTACAAGGACCGCGGGAGAGGCGGCCACGGTGTCAAGCATGCCTATTGGCAGGACCGTGGCACGCTGATGGTGCAGAGTGTCCAGGGGGTCAGCTCCACCAGAGGCGATGGCAGCGACGAGGATCGCCTTCGCCGCTATGCCCTGCTCAAGCTGGAGTGCTACGGCTTCCATGCCGCCCACTGCCTCGAGGCCTACCAGCACTGCAGCAACGATACGGAAGCGGCCCTGCTGCTGCTCTATAAGCGATATATGCACGTCCTCGAAAAGGAAAAGCTTAACCTTGAGCCACCCAGCGAGCAGGAGCTACTGGACATGCGCTCCGATGAGAAGGAAGCCCTCGAGTCCATCTACGATCGGACCTACGAGGAGCGTGAGTGCAATCGGGTGTGGAATCTCAAGTTAAAGATCGACCACCTACTGGCCCACAGCCCCTCAGAGGTTCGAAAGGCTCGTGAGGCTGCCGCCGCAGCAGCAGCCGCCTCTGTCCAGGCAGCCCTCGACAAGAAGAAGAAGGCGCCGCAGCGGTGTCGCAACTTCGAATGCGATGGCACCTGTAAATACGGTCCCAAGTGTCGCTTTGCCCATGCTGCCGGCCCAGCCCGTTCTTCCTTCCACACCAAAGAAAGGTTAGTGAGTGGATTGTCGGTGCTTCAGATCTAAAAATCTTTTGGTGTTAATTCGCAGATAATCTGGATGAGAACGACAACGAGCTGTGGTTCCATGCTGGAGGTGCGCTTTCCATGCCATCCAACGGCTTTAGACATACATACATATGTACAAACAAACATACACAGAAACGCACAAATGTACATAGCAGCAAACGAAAGAGTGGAACAGAGCCTGATAGAAAATGTGTCAAAAGCGGGAAGCGAGGCGACTGCCTTCGTGTTCTCTGCCGAGAGATAGACAACATACATATACATATGTACATACAATAATTATAACAAAGACAATAATTCTAGTGCATTTCTTTGTACTTTTGTATTGAATAACGTTTGTCCATATGTATGTATGTACGTATGTACGTACCTCTCATCTGAGGTTAAAATGGTTGAAATGGAATGCATACATATAAACACACCACACACGAATATATATGGCGAATGGAAAGGCAAAGCAGAATCTGAGGAAATGACAGCAGCATTCTCAGACGAGAGGACCGTACCGTTCGCACAGCACTGAGATCCTATTCGAAGCAAAACACCTGACTTTCTCGTGTGGCGCCGCAGAACCGCAGAGAACAACCGCTCGAAATATCACGAAATCGGCTGAATAGAAGGGTTATTATTCTTTGAGTCGCGTTTGAAGTCGACATGGATTTTTTTGGACGCAATAACGACAGTGAGAGGCTGACTCCCCTGGAGAATTCAGAGACGGAGTTTGTAAGTGGATCAAACATATGCGAAACAGTCAATACATGTACATAAATATGTAATTGGAACGTCTCGGCAGATTTTTGGGCAAGCTGAATCGGAACGCAACGTCAGTTTGGTTGAAGAGCACGAGGACGAGGACGTGCAGAAGAGTACGTCTGGGCTTTCGCCGCTTGTGGATATCATCCGAAAACTGTCAAAACTGTCCAGAACGAATGAGGCACTCAGTATGGATCTATCCACAGGGACTTTGAAAAAACGTATGCCCGATCAACCGTCAAATTGAATATGAGCCACAGAATTCGGGCAACAACATGACTGACTTAGGTCAGTTGGGTGGCGAGCAGCCGAAGGAAACTGCAAATAATCAGCACCAAGGCGGTTGGCATTACGTTTTCCACCTACCAACAGTAAGACTCTAAATTTGATTGGTTTCTCCATAATCTTGTCCAACTGTCCCCATTATTTCGACAGATGGATGGGGAATCTCCCAATATCGACAAGCCGGTACAGTATGAGTCTCCACTTCCGCACCCATCGTACTTAGGAGTCACCGTTGTTGGCTGGGAGCAAGAAACCAATTTGCCTGCTGGATATGATCTGTCAAGCATGCAGGAAATCAAAGATCCCAACCACTAGTCGGTACTAAACTTTTCTATCATATAATCCTTAAAACTTATAGTAAAACAGTTCCTGTATGTTGCTTATGTCCGCATTCCACTAGACTTGACTTGAACTGACTGTTTGTTTGGTGAGACGAGATATAAAGCGTATGGGGAGAAGCAGTGAGTGTAAGCGAGAGAAATGTATGTTTCGTTTGGCTCTTTAGTGTAACTGGTAGCAGCGCATCTTCAGAATTGTACATTGAAGGTACAATTTGGCTAGACCTGAACGGCTGTGCGTTTTTACGAACCAACCAAAATCAAACAGAAATTATCTTTGTCTACCAGTCTTCATTTGACGCCTATTGGCGTACTGTTTCTTTGTTTAAAAAAAAAACATCGTAAACTTCGATGTTTCATCACAAATATCGATGCTGCCCCAGCTCCACATCGGCGGCCATTTTGGATAAGGAAAACAACCGAAGTTTAGACCGCGCGTTTTTGTTTGTCAATATTCACTTGTTTGCTCCTCGAGAACACACAAATAATAATGAACAGTGATGATAATGCGTGCGCCTTTGATGGCAACCAGCAAGAAGCGAAAGAAGCGGTGTGCGATCCCGTTTCAATGATCCAGGCGTATTTGGAAGAGTTGCTGCGCCAAACGGTAAGCGGCAGGCCATCATTTCACAATCTGTATGCTGTATGATTTACAGCACGCCGAGAATACATCTTTGGAAACCGAACTTAATGAGCTGGAAGAAAAACAGAAGCGGATAATTGATCAGAAGGCTGAAACCATCTGCAGGATGAGCCTTCCGATCGTCGGGGAGAATTCGATACAGCTGATGCCCAATTTGGAGGAACTGACTGCGAAGGAGAATATTCTGAGCAGTCAACTGAGCGATCTGGTGAAAGTAAAGCAACGATTGGGCCTGGCCTATGCTGATCATTGCCAAAAGGCCATACAGGTCACCGAGGGACAGGGCGGTAATGTGGCCTATGATGAGTTCACATCGATGGTATGTCATGAGATCATTCTGCACCCATGCATTTCATCCCGGAGTACATATGTGTTTGTTTTTTCAGAGCTATGAAGATCTAAAGAAGCTCATTAAAGAGGATTCTATTAAACTGAGTGAAATGAAAAGTAAGTCTGCGGAATCGACCGACATACTACGCTCCAAGCGCAAGGAGCAGGATGCGAATCATAAGGCCGTGCTGGAGCAAATCAGTATACTCGAACTGGTCGCGCTCGAAGCCTTGTAAGCATACACATACATATTTCATACATATTTGTTAATATGGCATATTTGTTTTCCTCCATTGCAGCGAACTTGCTAACGACGTTAAAGTGGATTTAAACCATCGCAATGACGGCCATCCCTCCAATTAGATTAGTACGGAATTCATTCTGAAACTTTCATACATATAACCATTTTCTTAAACTAATAAAACCCATTTCCATAACATTTCCCCGACAGCAAAGTCTGTACATACGTATGTAAAGACAAGGACGGGGCGCGTAGTTTCGTTTATATGCGAAAATTTGCACCTACACCGGCTGCCCTAAGAAGTGGCAACGCGGCGCAAGGCCTGAAGAAAACACAGCTGATGGGGCTGCCAGATAGTTTCACGTTTTTGTGAAATTGCCTTTTTAGCGGCCGCCTGCTGGATTTTAGATATTTAGTTGTGAAATTTTAATATTATTTGATTTGAGACTTGAGAGCGACCATGGACGATTCCTCAAGGCAGCACATGGAAGACTTCTGCTTCATGCGGCCACCCAGCGACGTCCGCACCACGTAAGTGCTTCCAGCCGGCCGACCCGAACATTTACGTGGATAAATTCATCAGCGCGTTCTCTTCATTTCTGTAAAGCAACGTGCCTGTTGCTACTCCCAGGTCGGTGGCGGACAACAAATCACGCAAAACAGAGCTGCACGTCGTACGGCTGAGCGATGAGTCCAAGCAGATGACGATGGACACCTTACGGACCATACACGGGCCGGACTTTAAGCTGGAGGACATCAGTAAGTACAAGGACCGCGGGAGAGGCGGCCACGGTGTCAAGCATGCCTATTGGCAGGACCGTGGCACGCTGATGGTGCAGAGTGTCCAGGGGGTCAGCTCCACCAGAGGCGATGGCAGCGACGAGGATCGCCTTCGCCGCTATGCCCTGCTCAAGCTGGAGTGCTACGGCTTCCATGCCGCCCACTGCCTCGAGGCCTACCAGCACTGCAGCAACGATACGGAAGCGGCCCTGCTGCTGCTCTATAAGCGATATATGCACGTCCTCGAAAAGGAAAAGCTTAACCTTGAGCCACCCAGCGAGCAGGAGCTACTGGACATGCGCTCCGATGAGAAGGAAGCCCTCGAGTCCATCTACGATCGGACCTACGAGGAGCGTGAGTGCAATCGGGTGTGGAATCTCAAGTTAAAGATCGACCACCTACTGGCCCACAGCCCCTCAGAGGTTCGAAAGGCTCGTGAGGCGCCGCAGCGGTGTCGCAACTTCGAACGCGATGGCACCTGTAAATACGGTCCCAAGTGTCGCTTTGCCCATGTGCCGGCCCAGCCCGTTCTTCCTTCCACACCAAAGAAAGGTTAATGAGTGGATTGTCGGTGCTTCAGATCTAAAAATCTTTTGGTGTTAATTCGCAGATAATCTGGATGAGAACGACAACGAGCTGTGGTTCCATGTGGAGGTGCGCTTTCCATGCCATCCAACGGCTTTAGACATACATACATATGTACAAACAAACATACACAGAAACGCACAAATGTACATAGCAGCAAACGAAAGAGTGGAACAGAGCCTGATAGAAAATGTGTCAAAAGCGGGAAGCGAGGCGACTGCCTTCGTGTCCTCTGCCGAGAGATAGACAACATACATATACATATGTACATACAATAATTATAACAAAGACAATAATTCTAGTGCATTTCTTTGTACATTTGTATTGAATAACGTTTGTCCATATGTATGTATGTACGTATGTACGTACCTCTCATCTGAGGTTAAAATGGTTGAAATGGAATGCATACATATAAACACACCACACACGAATATATATGGCGAATGGCAAGGCAAAGCAGAATCTGAGGAAATGACAGCAGCATTCTCAGACGAGAGGACGTACCGTTCGCACAGCACTGAGATCCTATTCGAAGCAAAACACCTGACTTTCTCGTGTGGCGCCGCAGAACCGCAGAGAACAACCGCTCGAAATATCACGAAATCGGCTGAATAGAAGGGTTATTATTCTTTGAGTCGCGTTTGAAGTCGACATGGATTTTTTTGGACGCAATAACGACAGTGAGAGGCTGACTCCCCTGGAGAATTCAGAGACGGAGTTTGTAAGTGGATCAAACATATGCGAAACAGTCAATACATGTATGTACATAAATATGTAATTGGAACGTCTCGGCAGATTTCTGGGCAAGCTGAATCGGAACGCAACGTCAGTTTGGTTGAAGAGCACGAGGACGAGGACGTGCAGAAGAGTACGTCTGGGCTTTCGCCGCTTGTGGATATCATCCGAAAACTGTCAAAACTGTCCAGAACGAATGAGGCACTCAGTATGGATCTATCCACAGGGACTTTGACAAAACGTATGCCCGTCAACCGTCAAATTGAATATGAGCCACAGAATTCGGGCAACAACATGGCTGACTTAGGTCAGTTGGGTGGCGAGCAGCCGAAGGAAACTGCAAATAATCAGCACCAAGGCGGTTGGCATTACGTTTTGCACCTACCAACAGTAAGACTCTAAATTTGATTGGTTTCTCCATAATCTTGTCCAACTGTCCCCATTATTTTCGACAGATGGATGGGGAATCTCCCAATATCGACAAGCCGGTACAGTATGAGTCTCCACTTCCGCACCCATCGTACTTAGGAGTCACCGTTGTTGGCTGGGAGCAAGAAACCAATTTGCCTGCTGGATATGATCTGTCAAGCATGCAGGAAATCAAAGATCCCAACCACTAGTCGGTACTAAACTTTTCTATCATATAATCCTTAAAACTTATAGTAAAACAGTTCCCTGTATGTTGCTTATGTCCGCATTCCACTAGACTTGACTTGAACTGACTGTTTGTTTGGTGAGACGAGATATAAAGCGTATGGGAGAAGCAGTGAGTGTAAGCGAGAGAAATGTATGTTTCGTTTGGCTCTTTAGTGTAACTGGTAGCAGCGCATCTTCAGAATTGTACATTGAAGGTACAATTTGGCTAGCCCTGAACGGCTGTGCGTTTTTACGAACCAACCAAAATCAAACAGAAATTATCTTTGTCTACCAGTCTTCATTTGACGCCTATTGGCGTACTGTTTCTTTGTTTAAAAAAAAACATCGTAAACTTCGATGTTTCATCACAAATATCGATGCTGCAGGTGATAGTTTTCCTTGGACTGGCGAAACAAAGTTTATTTATTTTTTTGGGATATATCTTCAACGGGACTATTTTTGAGTTCAGTTCAGGGTTAATCGGCATTATGTTTCTGTGGCTTCAAGACTTGATCGGATTATACCGACTTTTGATTCTACCTATCGATGCATGCACAATAATAATATCGGTATTTTTGTGCGATAATCAGCACTCGAAATGGCGTTTATGGTCGTATTCCACTAGTCTAAATACCGGTACGAATACACAAACACAACGATACATTTATGTTAATGTTTCTGGTTCACCAAAAAGCACAGCACAGTTTATTTATATTCTGCAAATTATAATGTCCGAGCTTTTTATATATATGTACCTCTCACTTGCACTGAATGTTTTTCCCCATAAGGTTCTTATTGCTGGTTATTGAATAGTGATGTGGTTGAAGTGTGGTGTAATACGACCATACAATACACGTTTCCTTTTAAGTATCTAAGAATATTGCAATTAATTCACAGAAAAAAATTTAACGAACCAACTTATTCAGTAAATTATACCATTCTGTCCAATAACATTACATACATATGTACATATGTTGGGCAGTAAAAGCCATAAGTAATACCAAACCCCTGCCAGGAAATGGCGCGCACTTTTAAGATAGAAATATTCAGTAGCGCCATAGAACAGCGTTTTAATTATTTAATATTTAATAATTAATTATATTATCTTTAATGAAAATGATAACCATCCGTACTACGTACGCATGTATCTGCTGTACTTCAACATGTCAGGGCTATTTGGCAGAAAAGATTAGTTTGGGCGAAGCGACCAGTGGTTAGGATTTTTGATTTCCTCCAAGCTTAACAGAATATATCCAGCAGGAAGTACAAGTGGTATCTGGCTCCCAGCGAACAGCGATGGGTGCGGAAGGGCGAACATGTACTGCACGGGCTTGCCGACAATGGGAGATGCCCCATTAATCTGTCGAAAAGAATGGGGATTGTTAAACAAGATTTATAGACAAGCCCATCAAATTTTTACTCTTACTTTTTGTGCATCCAAAACGCTATGCCAGCTGCCTTTGTGCTGATTCTTAGCAGCTTGCTTAGGGTGATCACCACTCAACTTGGGGTCATCCATGTTGATGTCACAGTCCTTCGAAGATGTCATGTTAAAATAGGCATCAAAGGACGAAGTTTCCTGAGGTAGAGACGAAAGTCCAAACAAAAGTTTTTCCTGCGCAATCAAGGTACGTTCAGCTTCATCGAGCTCCCTCAGTACCTCATAATCATTTTGGGGACCATCGAGCATTGTCTCTTCGCTGGGCATCTCATTCGACCCCAGCTTTAAGTGTTTGTTTTGCGTAAACACCCAGCGTTTGATATCATTGTGTTTAATTTTCTTCTTCTTCTCCGCTGACAGATTGTCCTGATAACACATCCAGCTTTTAATATCATCGTGGTTCGTCTTCTTCTGTTCCCACGGTGACTGATTCCCCTGCGCAAGCACCAAGCGCCCAGTGTCAGCGAGATTCTTCTGCGCATTGTATTCAATTTGGCGGCAGACCAGTCCAATCTCTGAGACTCTCTCTGAAATCTGCCGAGACGTTCCAGTTACATATTTATGCACATGTATTAACAGTTTCGCATAGATTTTGTCTAATTACCTTCTCTGAATTCTCCAAGGGAGTCTTCCCCTCGCTGTCGTTCTTGCGTCCAAAAAAATCCATTTCGACTTCAAACGCGACTCAAAGAAAAATAATCCTTCTATCCTATTTCGTAATTTTCGAGCGGTGCTGTTTTGCGGCGCCACCCGAGAATGTCAGGTTCAGTGTGTGTAAGAGGGAGACAAGAGGTGTTTTGCTTCGAATAGGATCTCAGTAATGTGTGAGCGGTAGAGAATGCTGCTGTCATTTCCTCAGTTTCTGCTCTGCCTTGCCATTCGCCATATATATTTGTGTGTGTGCTTATATGTATGCATTCCACTTTTGCGCCTGTTTCAACCATTTTATCCCGTTCATCAATAGACAGAAAGAAAAACTGCGCTACAACACCCTTGCAGAGGATATATTTACTTTGGCAGAGCTTTGTAACACATAGAGTATACATTTTTATATACATATGTATATAAGTGCATATACTATATCTGTATGTACATATGTATATAATACATACATATGTACTGTCTGAACATACAGGGTGTTTCTATGTAAACTATTCTCTCAGATTTCAAGCAATCTCAACGAAATTCGACAGATTGTCTTCCCTAATCAAAAGAAATATAAATACATATGTACATGTGTACATAGTTTGTCGGAATCAGCCGAATCGAATTATTATATCAAATAGAAAAATGTTTGTGCTATGCTTCCGCTTTTAAATCAGTATCAGGCCATTGTTTGGAGTGGGAGAGAGATCCTTGCCGCAATACGTGGTTGTGCGAGTATACCAATGTTGATCCATTCTTTTCCAGGGTTTGAGCAAAGGAAAATAGAAAATGGCAAGCATCAGTCTTGTCTCATGCCATCCAACGGCTTTAGACATACATACATATGTACAAACAAACATACACAGAAACGCACAAATGTACATAGCAGCAGACGAAAGAGTGGAACAGAGCCTGATAGAAAATGTGTCAAAAGCGGGAAGCGAGGCGACTGCCTTCGTGTCCTCTGCCGAGAGATAGACAACATACATATACATATGTACATACAATAATTATAACAAAGACATTAATTCTAGTGCATTTCTTTGTACATTTGTATTGAACAACGTTTGTCCGATTATGCCAGGGAGCCACTGTATATGTACATATGTATGTATGTATGTACGTACCTCTCATCTGAGGTTAAAATGGTTGAAATGGAATGCATACATATAAACACACCACACACGAATATATATGGCGAATGGCAAGGCAAAGCAGAATCTGAGGATATGACAGCAGCATTCTCAGACGAGAGGACCGTACCGTTCGCACAGCACTGAGATCCTATTCGAAGCAAAACACCTGACTTTCTCGTGTGGCGCCGCAGAACCGCAGAGAACAACCGCTCGAAATATCACGAAATCGGCTGAATAGAAGGGTTATTTTTCTTTGAGTCGCGTTTGAAGTCGACATGGATTTTTTTGGACGCAAGAACGACAGTGAGAGGCTGACTCCCCTGGAGAATTCAGAGAAGGAGTTTGTAAGTGGATCAAACATATGCGAAACAGTCAATACATGTACATAAATATGTAATTGGAACGTCTCGGCAGATTTCTGGGCAAGCTGAATCGGAACGCAACGTCAGTTTGGTTGAAGAGCACGAGGACGAGGACGAGGACGTGCAGAAGAGTATGTCTGGGCTTTCGCCGCTTGTGGATATCATCCGAAAACTGTCAAAACTGTCCAGAACGAATGAGGCACTCAGTATGGATCTATCCACAGGGACTTTGACAAAACGTATGCCCATCAACCGTCAAATTGAATATGAGCCACAGAATTCGGGCAACAACATGACTGACTTAGGTCAGTTGGGTGGCGAGCAGCCGAAGGAAACTGCAAATAATCAGCACCAAGGCGGTTGGCATTACGTTTTGCACGTACCAACAGTAAGACTCTAAATTTGATTGGTTTCTCCATAATCTTGTCCAACTGTCCCCATTATTTTCGACAGATGGATGGGGAATCTCCCAATATCGACAAGCCGGTACAGTATGAGTCTCCACTTCCGCACCCATCGCACCCATCGTACTTAGGAGTCACCGTTGTTGGCTGGGAGCAAGAAACCAATTTGCCTGCTGGATATGATCTGTCAAGCATGCAGGAAATCAAAGATCCCAACCATTAGTCGGTACTAAACTTTTCTATCATATAATCCTTAAAACTTATAGTAAAACATATCCCTGTATACAGGTATGAGAAACCTGTTTATGTTCAATAAACTCTTATTGGTATAAACAATTCAATCCATATATTTAGTTGGCTCTAATGTTGCTTATGTCCGCATTCCACTAGACTTGACTTGAACTGACTGTTTGTTTGGTGAGACGAGATATAAAGCGTATGGGAGAAGCAGTGAGTGTAAGCGAGAGAAATGTATGTTTCGTTTGGCTCTTTAGTGTAACTGGTAGCAGCGCATCTTCAGAATTGTACATTGAAGGTACAATTTGGCTAGACCTGAACGGCTGTGCGTTTTTACGAACCAACCAAAATCAAACAGAAATTATCTTTGTCTACCAGTCTTCATTTGACGCCTATTGGCGTACTGTTTCTTTGTTTAAAAAAAAACATCGTAAACTTCGATGTTTCATCACAAATATCGATGCTGCCCCAGCTCCACATCGGCGGCCATTTTGGATAAGGAAAACAACCGAAGTTTAGACCGCGCGTTTTTGTTTGTCAATATTCACTTGTTTGCTCCTCGAGAACACACAAATAATAATGAACAGTGATGATAATGCGTGCGCCTTTGATGGCAACCAGCAAGAAGCGAAAGAAGCGGTGTGCGATCCCGTTTCAATGATCCAGGCGTATTTGGAAGAGTTGCTGCGCCAAACGGTAAGCGGCAGGCCATCATTTCACAATCTGTATGCTGTATGATTTACAGCACGCCGAGAATACATCTTTGGAAACCGAACTTAATGAGCTGGAAGAAAAACAGAAGCGGATAATTGATCAGAAGGCTGAAACCATGTGCAGGATGAGCCTTCCGATCGTTGGGGAGAATTCGATACAGCTGATGCCCAATTTGGAGGAACTGACTGCGAAGGAGAATATTCTGAGCAGTCAACTGAGCGATCTGGTGAAAGTAAAGCAACGATTGGGCCTGGCCTATGCTGATCATTGCCAAAAGGCCATACAGGTCACCGAGGGACAGGGCGGTAATGTGGCCTATGATGAGTTCACATCGATGGTATGTCATGAGATCATTCTGCACCCATGCATTTCATCCCGGAGTACATATGTGTTTGTTTTTTCAGAGCTATGAAGATCTAAAGAAGCTCATTAAAGAGGATTCTATGAAACTGAGTGAAATGAAAAGAAAGTCTGCGGAATCGACCGACATACTACGCTCCAAGCGCAAGGAGCAGGATGCGAATCATAAGGCCGTGCTGGAGCAAATCAGTATACTCGAACTGGTCGCACTCGAAGCCTTGTAAGCATACACATACATATTTCATACATATTTGTTAATATTGCATATTTGTTAATATTGCATATTTGTTTTCCTCCATTTCAGCGAACTTGCTAACGAAGTTAAAGTGGATTTAAACCATCGCAATGACGGCCATCCCTCCAATTAGATTAGTACGGAATTCATTCTGAAACTTTCATACAATTAACCATTTTCTTAAACTAATAAAACCCATTTCCATAACATTTCCCCGACAGCAAAGTCTGTACATACATATGTAAAGACAAGGACGGGGGCGCGTAGTTTCGTTTATATGCGAAAATTTGCACCTACACCGGCTGCCCTAAGAAGTGGCAACGCGGCGCAAGGCCTGAAGAAAACACAGCTGATGGGGCTGCCAGATAGTTTCACGTTTTTGTGAAATTGCCTTTTTAGCGGCCGCCTGCTGGATTTTAGATATTTAGTTGTGAAATTTTAATATTATTTGATTTGAGACTTGAGAGCGACCATGGACGATTCCTCAAGGCAGCACATGGAAGACTTCTGCTTCATGCGGCCACCCAGCGACGTCCGCACCACGTAAGTGCTTCCAGCCGGCCGACCCGAACATTTACGTGGATAAATTCATCAGCGCGTTCTCTTCATTTCTGTAAAGCAACGTGCCTGTTGCTACTCCCAGGTCGGTGGCGGACAACAAATCACGCAAAACAGAGCTGCATGTCGTACGGCTGAGCGATGAGTCCAAGCAGATGACCATGGACACCTTACGGACCATACACGGGCCGGACTTTAAGCTGGAGGACATCAGTAAGTACAAGGACCGCGGGAGAGGCGGCCACGGTGTCAAGCATGCCTATTGGCAGGACCGTGGCACGCTGATGGTGCAGAGTGTCCAGGGGGTCAGCTCCACCAGAGGCGATGGCAGCGACGAGGATCGCCTTCGCCGCTATGCCCTGCTCAAGCTGGAGTGCTACGGCTTCCATGCCGCCCACTGCCTCGAGGCCTACCAGCACTGCAGCAACGATACGGAAGCGGCCCTGCTGCTGCTCTATAAGCGATATATGCACGTCCCCGAAAAGGAAAAGCTTAACCTTGAGCCACCCAGCGAGCAGGAGCTGCTGGACATGCGCTCCGATGAGAAGGAAGCCCTCGAGTCCATCTACGATCGGGCCTACGAGGAGCGTGAGTGCAATCGGGTGTGGAATCTCAAGTTCAAGATCGACCACCTACTGGCCCACAGCCCCTCAGAGGTTCGAAAGGCTCGTGAGGCTGCCGCCGCAGCAGCAGCCGCCTCTGTCCAGGCAGCCCTCGACAAGAAGAAGAAGGCGCCGCAGCGGTGTCGCAACTTCGAACGCGATGGCACCTGTAAATACGGTCCCAAGTGTCGCTTTGCCATGCTGCCGGCCCAGCCCGTTCTTCCTTCCACACCAAAGAAAGGTTAGTGAGTGGATTGTCGGTGCTTCAGATCTAAAAATCTTTTGGTGTTAATTCGCAGATAATCTGGATGAGAACGACAACGAGCTGTGGTTCCATGTGGAGGTGCGCTTTCCACCCGGCAGCCAGTATCCGTACGAGGCGCCGTTCATCTACCTAAAGACCACCTGCCACGACATACCGCACGAGCTGAGGCTACGCTATGCGCGCCACCTGTACCGCGAGGCGAGGGATATCTGCCGCGACGGCATACCCTGTGTGTACAGCATCTGTGATCTGTTGCAGTCCAGCGAAGATCTGGCCGGCAGGCTGGACACGGCCCGGTTTCCCTCGCCCAAGCGTTCACTCTTCTACAACGAGCCGGAGACGGGCGCCGCGATCGACAATGGTGTGGGCGAGCTGACGGTGAAGCCCTCGCACTATGCCCGTGGTCAGACGTCCCGTTCTGAGGGAGGCTACCAGCGAAACACAGAGGCACAGGCCCGGGAGGATCGACGGCTGTTGCAACAGTTCGTGGAGCGGCGGAAGGATGAGCGCTACCAGAAGGTGATCGAGGGCAGGCGAAAGCTGCCGGCCTTTGCCGAGATCGAGAGTATTCTGGCCCTCATCGAGAGCTCGCCCGTGGTGGTGATATCCGGCGAGACGGGCTGCGGCAAGAGCACACAGGTGCCGCAGTTCATTCTTGATAATTGGTTCTTTCGCGCCCTTCAGCTGCAGCCCAAGGAGACCCTGCCCCATGTCGAGATCATCTGCACACAGCCGCGCCGCCTCTCGGCCATCGGTGTGGCGGAGCGTGTGGCCGCCGAGCGGCTGGACCGGATTGGCCAGCTGGTGGGCTACCAGATCCGGCTGGAGAACAAGGTCTCGCAAAGCACCCGCCTCAGCTTCTGCACCACCGGGATACTGCTGCGGCGGCTCGCCTCTGATCCGCTCTTGGGCGGCGTCTCCCATGTGATTGTCGATGAGGTGCACGAACGGTCCGAGGAGTCCGACTTCCTGCTGCTCATCCTCAAGAATATACTGCGTGAGCGTAAGGATCTCAAGGTCATCCTCATGTCGGCCACTCTGAATGCGAGCCTCTTCTCCAACTATTTTGGCGGGGCGCCCGTGCTGGACATACCCGGTCGGACGTTTCCCGTGCAGCAACTCTTCCTCGAGGACATTCTCGATCTGAACGACTTTGTCATGGAGTACGACACCAAGTTCTGCCGCAAGCTGAAAAAGTCTGAGCAGGATGTACTCCAGCGAGAGCTGGAATACGCCGATGTCCAGGCAGCGGGCCCGCCACCCGGAAAAAAGATCAAGGACGAGAAGCTAACCCTGGCCGAGACCTACAGTCGTTATGCGGGTAAGTAAAGCTCGACTTGGATCTTATCGGATTTACTGCAGCGCCTCTGCCCCCTGCTCCACCAGAGTTCAGCAAGACCACCTGCAAGAGCATCTACCTGATGGAGCCCATGACCATCAATCCGGAACTGATCGAATCCGTGCTCAAGTACATTGTGGAGGGCGCCCATGAGTGGCCGCGCACGGGCACCATTCTAATCTTTCTGCCCGGCATGCACGAGATCCAGACGGTGCACGATGCCCTGCTCGATCACTCGCTATTCTCGCCGCGGGCGGGCAAATTTGTACTGGTGCCGCTTCACTCTGCCTTGTCCGGCGAGGATCAGGCGCTGGTGTTCAAGCGAGCGCCGGCGGGCAAGCGAAAGATCGTGCTGAGCACGAACATAGCCGAGACCTCGGTGACCATCGACGACTGCGTCTTTGTGGTGGACTGTAATTTTGTAATTTGTAATGCGCATATTTGTGGCCCTGCCTGCACATAATTCATCAACGTTTTCAATCGATCGATCGATCTATCGATCTGCTATGTGATTGACTTGTAGAGATGTCAACAGTTTAGGGCAGAAATCAGCTCAAAAATCGATCACTTCCGAGGTCTAGTTTGTAACACAACGATTCATGTGACCGATCGGTGACATCCAAGAAATGCCAAGGGGGAGGAGGCGCAATGGAGAGGCCTGCCTGTTACCCGTTACCTGGTATCTGGTATCTGGCGGTATCCCATCAATTACAATTCATTTTAAATTTATTTAAATACACTTGGATTTACAGGCGGACACTTGTGATACGTCGATACATCAAAGCCAACTAGCATATGTACTTGTCGAGTAATTAATTAAACGCGATGCTTATCAACATTTTGGGTAATGCCCAATGTCCCATGAATCAGTTGCCCAATTTAAATACGCTGCTACCGTATGTGTCTGTGAGTGGGGGGAGGGCCTCGGGCAGCAGTCCTCCCCTCTCCACATCTCAACTATTTGTCGCTCTCTTGCCCGATCTGGTTCTGGATTCATATTTCGCACTTTCCGTAGGCTTGCATTTTCAATTTAAGGCCTCGATGACCAACTACAAATGGGGGATCTTTTAGCACCTCGTTTAGTTATTTGTTCGCTCTGATTTGATGGCTGTGGAAGAGTCAAAGGGGGGGCGTCACAAGTGGGTTAAATATGCCATGCCACCACGAGATATGTACAGTTGTGTTCAATAAAATAGTAGTGCCGCACCTCATCACTTTCAAAACTCTTTTTGAGACACTTCCAGATATCCAAATTGAACAAATGATACCTTTTTAAATAGACTGGACTGTTAGCATTAAAAAACCGAAGAAATATCCATACATTTCAGTTCCATCTTTTTGTTTTACATGACATAAGCCGAATACCCATAAAATATGCTGTTCAATGAAATAGTAGTGTTTTTTTAGAAAATTAAAAAAAACAACGAAACTCAAATAAAAACATATATTTCATGTTCTTCATGTTTCTTGAGCTTTAATATATAGTTTTTTATTAATTTGGTTATCATTGCGAACTTGCACCGGCCGGCTATGGGTCATTAATCTCTTGCCAACGCTTCAATAGGATTTGAGCCAATAATCCATGAACCACTTGCTAAAACTTGGCTCTGGTTCACGGATTTGCAGTTGCAACAATGTATTTGGTATTCCAGCATAAGATTTCGATGAGATTTATATCCAGTTGGACAGTTGGCCATGGAAAAACGTCGATCTTTTCCGATAAAAATCAATTCCTAGCGAGCTTTTCTGGGTATTTTAAGTCATTATCCTGTTAAAAGATCCTGTTAACATGAATTTTTCAACTGTAATATGAATGTTATGTATTCTAAAGTATACCTACATACACAGTTTCGCTGAAAACCACACTACACTCAAATGCCAGGCTGGAAAGTACTAGCTTATAAGAGCTGGGCCCCATAGGGCTCAGCCTAGCATGCCCAAAGCTAATTTTTTCATGATTTTAGGTGGTAATCGGATTTCTGTGAATGCCAAACATATTCTTTTGAGCCTATCTTTCCATATAATACAACTTTACTATCATTAGTCAAAAGTATTTTTGTCACTGTGACACAGGCCATTCCACATGCGTTTTTCCAAACTGAATTCATGCACCCATGTACTCTTAGACCCAAACGCGGAGCTTTCTGGGACTTCTTGCATTCAAATAATGTGTAATAAACCGTCTAAAAACCGTCACATCACTGACAGAGCGATTTAAAATTTTTTTCATAATTTTTGAGGATATTAAAGGCCTGGTCTTGCCTTCGACCATCGCCGACCATCCTCTAAGAAATAATTTTTTCGCATACAAAATCGATTTCAAGTCTACTTCTTTTAGTTAATTGGGTTAAATACAATAGTGAGAGTGCATACAACTTAGTTTTCAATCCCATTATACCTCCTGCCTTAAGTTTTTAGTCTAACTCTTAGGTCTCCTCTTCTGGACCGAGCAATGATTTCTTCAACGCCTCAAAATCAAAAGTACCGCTATGTCCAAAACTTTCTTTCATCAAATTATTCAATAACCAAATTGAGCTTACGGATGGTGACTTATTTCAAAAAATTGGCTTTGCTTTTTCATTTTTAAAAATTAATTTAACCCAGCACTACTATTTCATTGAACAGCATATTTTATGGGTATTCGGCTTATGTCATGTAAAACAAAAAGATGGAACTGAAATGTATGGATATTTCTTCGGTTTTTTAATGCTAACAGTCCAGTCTATTTAAAAAGGTATCACTTGTTCAATTTGAAAGACTAGAAATATCTCAAAAAGGGTTTTGAAAGTGATGAGGTGCGGCACTACTATTTCATTGAACACAACTGTATGTCGGTTCAATGAGATTAGAGAAACTTACACATGTTCATATACCCTTTACACAAGGGTACAAGTGTCCATATCAAATGTGTGGAATACATTTATTCTTGATTTACATCAGAATCTACCGGGAAGAACAGAACAGAACCAATAGTATATTCCCTCAAAATAAAGTCAATTTATTCTCTATTAATTAAAACAGCTGTTTACAGCCGTTTTCAGAGCTTTTCCATTGAGATTTTTAAACGACACATGTATATTCGATAATTGAATTAATTTTCCATACGATTGGCTTATTTTTATAAGAGCGTATAAGAGGTACAAAATATTTTCTACACACTTTCGGAAAATCAATGCGATCGTAGGCAGGGTATTTGTTTATCCATTTAAACCAAATCCCAGAGGCGTCACCGTCTTTCTTCCGCTCACAAGCGGAAGTACCTCAGTACCTCATAATCATTTTGGGGACCATCGAGCATTGTCTCTTCGCTGGGCATCTCATTCGACCCCAGCTTTAAGTGTTTGTTTTGCGTAAACACCCAGCGTTTGATATCATTGTGTTTAATTTTCTTCTTCTTCTCCGCTGACAGATTGTCCTGATAACACATCCAGCTTTTAATATCATCGTGGTTCGTCTTCTTCTGTTCCCACGGTGACTGATTCCCCTGCGCAAGCACCCAGCGCCCAGTGTCAGCGAGATTCTTCTGCGCATTGTATTCAATTTGGCGGCAGACCAGTCCAATCTCTGAGACTCTCTCTGAAATCTGCCGAGACGTTCCAGTTACATATTTATGCACATGTATTAACAGTTTCGCATAGATTTTGTCTAATTACCTTCTCTGAATTCTCCAAGGGAGTCTTCCCTCGCTGTCGTTCTTGCGTCCAAAAAAATCCATTTCGACTTCAAACGCGACTCAAAGAAAAATAATCCTTCTATCCTATTTCGTAATTTTCGAGCGGTGCTGTTTTGCTGCGCCACACGAGAATGTCAGGTTCAGTGTGTGTAAGAGGGAGACAATAGGTGTTTTGCTTCAAATAGGATCTCAGTGCTGTGTGAGCGGTAGAGAATGCTGCTGTCATTTCCTCAGTTTCTGCTCTGCCTTGCCATTCGCCATTTATATTTGTGTGTGTGTTTATATGTATGCATTCCACTTTTGCGCCTGTTTCAACCATTTTATCCCGTTCATCAATAGACAGAAAGAAAAACTGCGCCACAACACCCTTGCAGAGGATATACATATTTACTTTGGCAGAGCTTTGTAACACAAAGAGTATACATTTGTACATATATACATATGTGCATATACTATATCTGTATGTACATATGTATATAATACATACATATGTACTGTCTGAACATACAGGGTGTTTCTATGTAAACTATTCTCTCAGATTTCAAGCATCTCAACGATTCGACAGTTGTCTTCCCATCAAAAGAAATATAAATCATATGTACTGTGTACATAGTTTGTCGGAATCAGCCGAATCGGATTATATATCAAATAGAAAAATGTTTGTGCTATGCTTCCGCTTTTAAATCAGTATCAGGCCATTGTTTGGAGTGGGAGAGAGATCCTTGCCGCAATACGTGGTTGTGCGGGGTACCAATGTTGATCCATTCTTTTCCAGGGTTTGAGCAAAGGAAAATAGAAAATGGCAAGCATCAGTCTTGTCTCATGCCATCCAACGGCTTTTAGACATACATACATATGTACAAACAAACATACACAGAAACGCACAAATGTACATAGCAGCAAACGAAAGAGTGGAACAGAGCCTGATAGAAAATGTGTCAAAAGCGGGAAGCGAGGCGACTGCCTTCGTGTCCTCTGCCGAGAGATAGACAACATACATATACATATGTACATACAATAATTATAACAAAGACATTAATTCTAGTGCATTTCTTTGTACATTTGTATTGAACAACGTTTGTCCGATTATGCCAGGGAGCCACTGTATATGTACATATGTATGTATGTATGTACGTACCTCTCATCTGAGGTTAAAATGGTTGAAATGGAATGCATACATATAAACACACCACACACGAATATATATGGCGAATGGCAAGGCAAAGCAGAATCTGAGGAAATGACAGCAGCATTCTCAGACGAGAGGACCGTACCGTTCGCACGAGCAGGATCCTATTCGAAGCAAAACACCTGACTTTCTCGTGTGGCGCCGCAGAACCGCAGAGAACAACCGCTCGAAATATCACGAAATCGGCTGAATAGAAGGGTTATTTTTCTTTGAGTCGCGTTTGAAGTCGACATGGATTTTTTTGGACGCAAGAACGACAGTGAGAGGCTGACTCCCCTGGAGAATTCAGAGAAGGAGTTTGTAAGTGGATCAAACATATGCGAAACAGTCAATACATGTACATAAATATGTAATTGGAACGTCTCGGCAGATTTCTGGGCAAGCTGAATCGGAACGCAACGTCAGTTTGGTTGAAGAGCACGAGGACGAGGACGTGCAGAAGAGTATGTCTGGGCTTTCGCCGCTTGTGGATATCATCCGAAAACTGTCAAAACTGTCCAGAACGAATGAGGCACTCAGTATGGATCTATCCACAGGGACTTTGACAAAACGTATGCCCATCAACCGTCAAATTGAATATGAGCCACAGAATTCGGGCAACAACATGACTGACTTAGGTCAGTTGGGTGGCGAGCAGCCGAAGGAAACTGCAAATAATCAGCACCAAGGCGGTTGGCATTACGTTTTGCATGTACCAACAGTAAGACTCTAAATTTGATTGGTTTCTCCATAATCTTGTCCAACTGTCCCCATTATTTTCGACAGATGGATGGGGAATCTCCCAATATTGACAAGCCGGTACAGTATGAGTCTCCACTTCCGCACCCATCGCACCCATCGTACTTAGGAGTCACCGTTGTTGGCTGGGAGCAAGAAACCAATTTGCCTGCTGGATATGATCTGTCAAGCATGCAGGAAATCAAAGATCCCAACCATTAGTCGGTACTAAACTTTTCTATCATATAATCCTTAAAACTTATAGTAAAACATATCCCTGTATACAGGTATGAGAAACCTGTTTATGTTCAATAAACTCTTATTGGTATAAACAATTCAATCCATATATTTAGTTGGCTCTAATGTTGCTTATGTCCGCATTCCACTAGACTTGACTTGAACTGACTGTTTGTTTGGTGAGACGAGATATAAAGCGTATGGGAGAAGCAAGTGAGTGTAAGCGAGAGAAATGTATGTTTCGTTTGGCTCTTTTATTGTAACTGGTAGCAGCGCATCTTCAGAATTGTACATTGAAGGTACAATTTGGCTAGACCTGAACGGCTGTGCGTTTTTACGAACCAACCAAAATCAAACAGAAATTATCTTTGTCTACCAGTCTTCATTTGACGCCTATTGGCGTACTGTTTCTTTGTTAAAAAAAAAACATCGTAAACTTCGATGTTTCATCACAAATATCGATGCTGCCCCAGCTCCACATCGGCGGCCATTTTGGATAAGGAAAACAACCGAAGTTTAGACCGCGCGTTTTTGTTTGTCAATATTCACTTGTTTGCTCCTCGAGAACACACAAATAATAATGAACAGTGATGATAATGCGTGCGCCTTTGATGGCAACCAGCAAGAAGCGAAAGAAGCGGTGTGCGATCCCGTTTCAATGATCCAGGCGTATTTGGAAGAGTTGCTGCGCCAAACGGTAAGCGGCAGGCCATCATTTCACAATCTGTATGCTGTATGATTTACAGCACGCCGAGAATACATCTTTGGAAACCGAACTTAATGAGCTGGAAGAAAAACAGAAGCGGATAATTGATCAGAAGGCTGAAACCATGTGCAGGATGAGCCTTCCGATCGTTGGGGAGAATTCGATACAGCTGATGCCCAATTTGGAGGAACTGACTGCGAAGGAGAATATTCTGAGCAGTCAACTGAGCGATCTGGTGAAAGTAAAGCAACGATTGGGCCTGGCCTATGCTGATCATTGCCAAAAGGCCATACAGGTCACCGAGGGACAGGGCGGTAATGTGGCCTATGATGAGTTCACATCGATGGTATGTCATGAGATCATTCTGCACCCATGCATTTCATCCCGGAGTACATATGTGTTTGTTTTTTCAGAGCTATGAAGATCTAAAGAAGCTCATTAAAGAGGATTCTATGAAACTGAGTGAAATGAAAAGAAAGTCTGCGGAATCGACCGACATACTACGCTCCAAGCGCAAGGAGCAGGATGCGAATCATAAGGCCGTGCTGGAGCAAATCAGTATACTCGAACTGGTCGCACTCGAAGCCTTGTAAGCATACACATACATATTTCATACATATTTGTTAATATTGCATATTTGTTAATATTGCATATTTGTTTTCCTCCATTTCAGCGAACTTGCTAACGAAGTTAAAGTGGATTTAAACCATCGCAATGACGGCCATCCCTCCAATTAGATTAGTACGGAATTCATTCTGAAACTTTCATACAATTAACCATTTTCTTAAACTAATAAAACCCATTTCCATAACATTTCCCCGACAGCTAAAGTCTGTACATACATATGTAAAGACAAGGACGGGGGCGCGTAGTTTCGTTTATATGCGAAAATTTGCACCTACACCGGCTGCCCTAAGAAGTGGCAACGCGGCGCAAGGCCTGAAGAAAACACAGCTGATGGGGCTGCCAGATAGTTTCACGTTTTTGTGAAATTGCCTTTTTAGCGGCCGCCTGCTGGATTTTAGATATTTAGTTGTGAAATTTTAATATTATTTGATTTGAGACTTGAGAGCGACCATGGACGATTCCTCAAGGCAGCACATGGAAGACTTCTGCTTCATGCGGCCACCCAGCGACGTCCGCACCACGTAAGTGCTTCCAGCCAGGCGACCCGACCATTTACGTGGATAAAATCATTAGCGCGTTCTCTTCATTTCTGTAAAGCAACGTGCCTGTTGCTACTCCCAGGTCGGTGGCGGACAACAAATCACGCAAAACAGAGCTGCATGTCGTACGGCTGAGCGATGAGTCCAAGCAGATGACCATGGACACCTTGCGGACCATACACGGGCCGGACTTTAAGCTGGAGGATATCAGTAAGTACAAGGACCGCGGGAGAGGCGGCCACGGTGTCAAGCATGCCTACTGGCAGGACCGTGGCACACTGATGGTGCAGAGTGTCCAGGGGGTCAGCTCCACCAGAGGCGATGGCAGCGACGAGGATCGCCTTCGCCGCTATGCCCTGCTCAAGCTGGAGTGCTACGGCTTCCATGCCGCCCACTGCCTCGAGGCCTACCAGCACTGCAGCAACGATACGGAAGCGGCCCTGCTGCTGCTCTATAAGCGATATATGCGCGTTCCCGAAAAGGAAAAGCTTAACCTGGAGCCACCCAGCGAGCAGGAGCTGCTGGACATGCGCTCCGATGAGAAGGAAGCCCTCGAGTCCATCTACGATCGGGCCTACGAGGAGCGTGAGTGCAATCGGGTGTGGAATCTCAAGTTCAAGATCGACCACCTACTGGCCCACAGCCCCTCAGAGGTTCGAAAGGCTCGTGAGGCTGCCGCCGCAGCAGCAGCCGCCTCTGTCCAGGCAGCCCTCGACAAGAAGAAGAAGGCGCCGCAGCGGTGTCGCAACTTCGAACGCGATGGCACCTGTAAATACGGTCCCAAGTGTCGCTTTGCCCATGTGCCGGCCCAGCCCGTTCTTCCTTCCACACCAAAGAAAGGTTAGTGAGTGGATTGTCGGTGCTTCAGATCTAAAAATCGTTTGGTTTTAATTCGCAGATAATCTGGATGAGAACGACAACGAGCTGTGGTTCCATGTGGAGGTGCGCTTTCCACCCGGCAGCCAGTATCCGTACGAGGCGCCGTTCATCTACCTAAAGACCACCTGTCACGATATACCGCACGAGTTGAGGCTTCGCTATGCGCGCCACCTGTACCGCGAGGCGAGGGATATCTGCCGCGACGGCATACCCTGTGTGTACAGCATCTGTGATCTGTTGCAGTCCAGCGAAGATCTGGCCGGCAGGCTGGACACGGCCCGGTTTCCCTCGCCCAAGCGTTCACTCTTTTACAACGAGCCGGAGACGGGCGCCGCGATCGACAATGGTGTGGGCGAGCAGACGGTGAAGCCCTCGCACTATGCCCGCGGTCAGACGTCCCGTTCTGAGGGAGGCTACCAGCGAAACACAGAGGCACAGGCCCGGGAGGATCGACGGCTGTTGCAGCAGTTCGTGGAGCGGCGGAAGGATGAGCGCTACCAGAAGGTGATCGAGGGCAGGCGAAAGCTGCCGGCCTTTGCCGAGATTGAGAGTATTCTGGCCCTCATCGAGAGCTCGCCCGTGGTGGTGATATCCGGCGAGACGGGCTGCGGCAAGAGCACACAGGTGCCGCAGTTCATTCTCGACAATTGGTTCTTTCGCGCCCTTCAGCTGCAGCCCAAGGAGACCCTGCCCCATGTCGAGATCATCTGCACGCAGCCGCGCCGCCTCTCGGCCATCGGTGTGGCGGAGCGTGTGGCCGCCGAGCGGCTGGACCGCATTGGCCAGCTGGTGGGCTACCAGATCCGGCTGGAGAACAAGGTCTCGCAGAGCACCCGCCTCAGCTTCTGCACCACCGGGATACTGCTGCGGCGGCTCGCCTCCGATCCGCTGCTGGGCGGCGTCTCCCATGTGATTGTCGATGAGGTGCACGAACGGTCCGAGGAGTCCGACTTCCTGCTGCTCATCCTCAAGAATATACTGCGCGAGCGCAAGGATCTCAAGGTCATCCTCATGTCGGCCACTCTGAATGCGAGCCTCTTCTCCAACTACTTTGGCGGGGCGCCCGTGCTGGACATACCCGGTCGGACGTTTCCCGTGCAGCAACTCTTCCTCGAGGACATTCTCGATCTGAGCGACTTTGTCATGGAGTACGACACCAAGTTCTGCCGCAAGCTGAAAAAGTCTGAGCAGGATATACTCCAGCGGGAGCTGGAATACGCCGATGTCCAGGCAGCGGGCCCGCCACCCGGCAAAAAGATCAAGGACGAGAAGCTAACCCTGGCCGAGACCTACAGTCGTTATGCGGGTAAGTAAAGCTCGACTTGGATCTTATCGGATTTACTGCAGCGCCTCTGCCCCCTGTTCTCTGCCCCCCCCTGCTCCACCAGAGTTCAGCAAGACCACCTGCAAGAGCATCTACCTGATGGAGCCCATGACCATCAATCCGGAACTGATCGAATCCGTGCTCAAGTACATTGTGGAGGGCGCCCATGAGTGGCCGCGCACGGGCACCATTCTAATCTTTCTGCCCGGCATGCACGAGATCCAGACGGTGCACGATGCCCTGCTCGATCACTCGCTATTCTCGCCGCGGGCGGGCAAATTTGTACTGGTGCCGCTGCACTCGGCCCTGTCCGGCGAGGATCAGGCGCTGGTGTTCAAGCGAGCGCCGGCGGGCAAGCGAAAGATCGTGCTGAGCACGAACATAGCCGAGACCTCGGTGACCATCGACGACTGCGTCTTTGTGGTGGACTGCGGCCTGATGAAGGAGAAATGCTTCGACTCGAACCGGAACATGGAGTCCCTCGACCTGGTGTGGGTCTCGCGCGCCAATGCCAAGCAGCGCAAGGGTCGCGCCGGTCGCGTCATGCCCGGCGTATGCATTCACCTGTACACGAGCCATCGCTTCCATCAGCACATCCTGGGCCAGCCGGTGCCGGAGATACAGCGGGTGCCGCTTGAGCAGATTGTGCTGCGCATCAAGACGCTCGAGACGTTCGCGTCGCGTAACACGCTCTCCGTTCTGCTCGAGACGCTCGAGGCACCCAGCGAGGACAGTGTACTGGGTGCCCTGACACGCCTACGCGATGTGGGCGCCCTGGATGCTGACGATCAGCTGACACCGCTGGGTCACCATCTGGCCGCCCTGCCGGTGGACGTACGCATCGGCAAGCTAATGCTGTATGGCGCCATCTTCCAGTGCCTGGATAGTGTGCTGACAATTGCCGCCTGTC